CCCAGCTCATCTCCTTGGTGCCATAAATCTGGATCCCAGGTGCAATTCATTCCAGGTTCTCCCCCATTTCATATCCCAGCCCTGATCCAGTCTGGGTTTCCCCCTATTCCTGATTCTGGGCACAATCCAGTCCAGGTTTCCCTCCATTCCGGATCCCAGGTGTGATCCAGTCTGGGTTTTCCCCATTCTGCATTCTGGCCCTGATCCAGTCTGGATTTCCCCTCATTCTGTATTCTCACTTTATCCAATCTGGTCTTTCCCCCACCCTGTATCCCACCTGTGATCCAGTCTGTCTTGTCCCCCATTCCAGTGGGGCACTGGAAGAGGCTCCCCAGGGCAGTGGTCACAGAGTTCAAGGATCCTTTGGACAATGCTCTCATGCACATGGTGGGATTTCTGGGGTTATCCTGTGCACGCTCAGGAGTTGGACTTGATGATGATCCTTGTGGGTCCCTTCCAACTCAGGACATTCTATGATTCTGCTGGGGGGTTATGTCACTGCAGGTACATGTGGCACAGGAGAAGCCTGTGGAAGCAAGACCAGCTCACCAAGCACAACCAAGAGTTCAAATCATGCCCCTCAGCCCACAGTGGGGGTCAGGATTATGGCCAAACATTTCCCTTTGGCTTTTCAGCCTTGTCCTTGGAAAGCCATCCCACTGCTCCCCTAACACCCTCCCTCTGCTTCCAGGCTTTCTACTACCCTGAAGAAGCAGGTGTTGCCTTCGGTGGCCAAGGCTCCTCCAGATATTTGCGCCTCGAGATCCATTACCACAATCCCCTGGTGTTCAAAGGTGAGGGGGTGTGAGCCATGCCTGGTGCCTCCCCAGTAAGGCCATGGCAGGAGAGCTGGGGACATTCAAGGGAAGGACTGACATCCTGTTGGAGAGGGCTCTGGCCAAAAATCATAGCCCTGTTTGCAACTATCTGGACACCTGATGGTCCAGATCTGTCCTAGCAGGAAGAATACATTATATTCCCACCATGCTGCCCCTTTTCTGGTCTCAGTAAAGTCGTCCTCACTGAAGGCTGGACCTGTGCAAGCCCAGCGGTGGAGAAGGATGCTCAGGAAAGGAATCTCTCAGAGCCTGCAGGCAGAAAACTGCCCCTATAGAGTTCCTGCAGGGATATGATCCAAGGCAGCACCAGTATTTAGCTGGGCTGTCTCAGAGTGTCCCTCCAAGTTCCTTGGAAGGTGGTGGTGGAGGATCTCAGAGCAAGAGCAACAGCAGTGCCAAGTCACCAGAGAGGAAGCAGCAGCAGCCTGGCTGGGGATGGGGGGATGTGGATGTTGTTTTACTGTACTCCTGCTTCGATAACATTGTCAGGAGACACATTGAAAAAAAAAAAGTTCCAAAAAGCCCAGTTTCTTCATTAACATAAAAACAAGTAGCTTCTTGACTACCCAAGTATATTTTTAGGAGACCAGAGCATATGCACTGTAGATCAGTCATAGCACATTCGGCAACTCGAGAAAAAACACGTCTATAAATACAGAACTCATGTCTTTCATAATTTATCTGCTTTTGCATGTTAACCAATAGTGTCTCCCCTGTTATTCTTATCTCTGAGTGGGCTCCAGCCCGGAGACAGGGGGTTCAAAGCTGCCCTGAACCCCTCCTGACCTACTGACCCTGCTCTTTCCCTTTGCTTTCGGGGCCTTAGACTTCTGGATGTATCAGTTAAAGAAGATGCAATGAGCCATATTTCTGAGGGAGTTAAAGCACCCCATGCTCTGTCCTTCTGCTTTGGGCTCTCCAAAGGCACCCCTTACCTCACTCTCCTGGGAGCAATTCAGCCTTAGGTCGATGCCCTCTCTAGGGGAACCAGGCGTGTCTGGGCGCACTCAGGAAAGGCTTGCATGCAGATGTCTAGGATTTAGAACAACAAGAGCCACACGCAGGTTCAGAAAGCTGCGAGCGAGAGGCTGGCGACGCAGCGCAGCATCGTTTTTCACACCTGACCTTGTCCCTGCGGTGACTCGTCCTTGTCCTCTCGCCCACCAGGTCGCCGTGACTCCTCAGGCATCCGACTGTACTACACGGCCACCCTGCGGCACCACGACGCCGGGATCATGGAGCTGGGCTTGGTCTACACGCCCGTGATGGCCATTCCCCCCGGCGAGGACGCCTTTGTCCTCACGGGCTATTGCACCGACAAATGCACCCAGAAGGTGAGTGCCCGTCCTCTCCACCCCGGCTTCACCTTGGAGAACAAAGTTTACTCATGGCTTTTCCCAGGCCCTGGGCAGAACTGAGCTCCAGGTTTCCAATTCCCAGTTTTAAACTTACCGTGAGGTTGCACTCGAAAAGAAAAAATCTGTACAACAAACAGAGAGCAGCTGGTCGGGATGCGCTGAATCCCCCTCGAAGCAGCTCTCCTGGGGAGCCATCTGCTCCAGCTCCCCAGGGTACCATTCCCATAAAACTTATTGCCTAGCTGGCTGTGTCCCAGCGGTGCTTCCCTCCATGGGGAAGAGAAAATTGGCTTCTGTGTCCGAGCAACTTGCCAAGAGCTTCTCTCAAAGATGGTTCCAAAATGCCCACCTTGCTCTCAGGGATATTTTAGTAGATGTTTTGGTAGGGCCTACTCAAAAGGAATCATTTGTGCCACCGCTGACGAGCGCAGGGAAGCAAGCAGCATCCGGCTCAGCTGCTCCTGCTGACCCAGAGAGCTGGTTTGGCAGCAGATTGAGAGTCTGTCCCTCTGTCAGGAGCTCGCTGACACCCTGCTCCAAGGGGACAGTGATCCCCTAAACTCCTGTGTGAGAGCCAGGACAGGGACAGCCGGTTCCCAGCACAGAGCAGGGGATGTGTGGGAGGGGAGAGGGATGGGGTCAGCACGAGGCCCTGATCTGTCCTTCCCCCAGGCTCTGCCTGCTGCCGGCATCCGCATCTTCGCCTCCCAGCTCCACACTCACCTGGCAGGAAGAAAAGTGGTGACAGTGCTGTCCCGGGACGGGAGAGAGCGGCAGGTCGTGAACTCTGACAGCCACTACAGCCCTCACTTCCAGGTACAGGGGTCTGCAGGGGCAGTGGGGTCCTGGCTGGATGTCACCTGTGGGGTTGCCCTGGGCACGGTGCCACGGCGCTGCTCTGATGTGACCCCTTTCCTTCCCTCCCAGGAGATCCGCATGCTGAAGGAGGTCGTTGCAGTCTTTCCAGTGAGTTGCTCCAGAAACTGTGGCAGCTTCCAAACAGCACACCCTGACCCCATGACCCTGAGCTCTCTGCCTCCTTCCATCAGCCCATCCCCTCTGGGGACGTCCCTGCGGGCTGCAGGAGGACAGTGTGGTCCCTGGGTCATATCTACCACCCTCATGCCTTGGGGATGTTGGGGCCCACCTCATATGGCACAAAACTGGTGTGTGGGCAGTAAGGAGCTAAATTAAGCACCTAATTTAGTTGGGCTTTGTCTACCAGAGGGAGGCTCCTCAGGGGGTGAGGATGAACCATGGTGGTGCCCCCTCTCCTCGCTGGGTAGAAGGAGAGGAAGAGATTTGGAATCAGTGGTGAGAGTGTGTGGCAAAACAGAGGTGGAAAGTGCCCTGGGGTCTTTTGGGTGAGGAAGAACCTGGCTGCAAAGTAGAGGACACCTATGGGACCTGCTGTGCCCCATGAGGCTGCCCAAAAGACTCAGCACTCATTGAGACCCCACCCACATCTGTGCTGGGACCCCACAGTCCCCAGCGCTGGCTGTGATGGGGAGGCTGTTGTGCCATCAAGTCAGGTACAGATTTGGCACTTCAAACTGTTGCCTAAGTGCATTTTTTTAAGGTGTTTCAGCCCTGCAGAAATTCTTAAAAAGCGGGGAAAGCAGGAAACACCATTCCTGGGATACAGCCCTAGGGAATCTCCACAGGGGATGCAAGTTTAGCAAGCGCTCCTGAGGCATTGCAGAGAGCGCTGGTGGGGAAACAGGCTACTGATATGGGGAGCAGAGATCTGCTGTGTTGTACACTCCCCAGCCCCTAAATTTGCCTGTGTTTGAACCTCCCCAGGGCGATGAACTCATCACCACCTGCACGTACAACACGCAGGACCGGAGCCAAGCCACCGTGGTGAGTGCAGGGGCAGCTCACCTGCCTCTGTGGGGCTGAGGTGTGTTGGTACCCCAGGGTTGGGGGCACCCACAGAGTGGGCTTTTGCATGAACCCAGGCTGAATCACAGCCAAAAACCAGAGGGAGTGTGGGAAGAAGGGAACTCACAAGGCTCTGCTGCCTGCAGCGGGGATGGCAAGGTGCTAATTGTGAAGTAGCATGTGTCACTCTAATTCCCATCACAAACTGTTCCACCAGGGATTAATTGTAATTAAAGAGAAGTGGCATTTTTTGACAGTGCATGTTATTTTCTTACATAGGCAGCAAAAAAAATAAAAAAGAGCCTGTCAGAGGTACCATCAACAGGGACAAAGTTAAATATAGCAGAGGGATTATAGGAAATCTGCATTTTAATGTAAACCACACGGTCTAGCCTAAAAGTCTGTCCTTGTGCAAAGGGCAGACGAGCAGAGTGCTGCCCATCTCACGCACATGAAGGGGTGTGTTTATCTATACCTATGTATCTACATCTATTTAGATACCCAGATATCTAGATATATAGATTATAGCTATAGATATATGTGAGTGTGCACATAGAGGTGTGAGCTTTGTGTCCTCCTGCCCTCCCTGCTGGCTGTGCAGCCCTGGCAGGGCACAGCCAGACCCCGCTGCCATCACCTTTGTGTCTGTGCTGCAGGGAGGGTTTGGCATCCTGGAAGAGATGTGTGTGAACTACGTGCATTACTACCCCCAGACGCAGCTGGAGCTGTGCAAAAGCACTATGGATCTGGGATACCTGCACCGATACTTCAACCTCGTGAACAGGTACAGAGCCCCTGCACAGTGGGACTGAGGGGAGAGGGATCAGTGCAAAGCTCTGTGGTGGTAACACTAGAAAAAAGCCAAAACCAGGGTTTCCCAGAACCTCTGGGAATGGACTTCACAGAAAGAGTCAGAGCATGACCATGTGCTTAAGTGCAGAATATTCCTTATAACCCAAGGCAGACAGCAAGCATCCCTGCTAGAGAAGCTGCAGCCCATCCACCCAGGATGAGAGGGGGAGATGCTGACCTTGCACAGGATGTCCTACCCACAGGCAGTCAGCTGGCCCCAAATCCTTCCCTGCAGGTGCCCGCTGCTCCAGGCGCTCCCTGTGCCCAGCGCTGACTTCGGAGCCATTCCAGGTCAAGCTTTAGGCAGGGAGGAATTAGTCACATCCAGCACCAAAAGGGGACAACACTGCTGTGTTTCAGTGTGGCGTTTCTCTTGCCCCAGGTTTAACGATGAGGAGGTCTGCATGTGCCCGCAGGTCTCTGTCCCAGAGCAGTTCAGTTCTGTCCCCTGGAACACGTTCAACAGAGATGTGCTAAAGTCCCTCTACGGTTTTGCTCCGATCTCCATGCACTGCAACAAATCCTCCGCCATCCGGTTCCCGGTATGTACAGCTTCACTCCCAAGGCTTCCCAACAAAACCTCCAGCTGTAGGTAAAAAGCAGCTTGGCAGAGCTGTGGGAAGGTCTGTACCAAGCACATGGGTCAGGTGTCCGGTGCTCAGGACACATCCAAAACCCAGCGGGCTCAGGGCAGGGAGCTGGAGCTGTCAGGACACTGAGCCCAGCCTTGGTGCTTAAACAATCTGTCCAGAGCCCACCATGGATGTTCCCAGCCAGATTCAATTGGGAGATGCATTTGCATAAAGTGATTTGGAGGCTGCTTTTGCTGAGCGTTGAAGTAGGGCTGGCTCCAGATCCAAGGAGAAACGTGAGGTGGTTTTTAGGATTTTGGCAAATGACATCAGGTCCCAGCAGAGCGAGCTCATTACGCGCAGCATCTGTGCAGCCTCCGAACGCAGGGATCCAGCAAAACCTGAAGGATAAAGGACTGCGAGATCTTTAAAGGAAAAACAGGCCCAGTGATGAGGGACATAACAATGATGGCAATGAAGATTTAAAACCACTGATGGCCTCAGCTCCCAGTGCCATTTATCGGTGTAATAAACTTAGCTGATAGCCTATTCCCGGATCCAGGGATATCCACTGCAGCACAGGAGGATGCTGAGCTGACTGCAGGGATGACCATCAGCTTTCTGCCCCAGTAAACTCCCTTCAGCAAAGTCCACTCTGGAGCAGGCAGAAACCATTCCAGTTTCCTGGAACTGAAGACCCGGCACCTCTCGGCTGTGCAGAGGACAGAAGTGCAGAACAGTGGTGCAGAAGTTTTGTGCAGCAGGACAATTATGAATTAAACCTCTTAATTACAGCTCAGACAACTCTCTTGGTTTCAGAGAGGTCTAGGGGGCTTCTGGGAAGGGACTCGAGCGGAGCAGAGCCAATGCTGGCACAAAGTGGGTCACAGGCACCACAGTGAGGGCGAAGGAACTGAGCTGCCTCCCTGCTCTGCTGGTGCTTCAGAGCGAGCCCAACTTTGATACATCTCATTTATTCCATACTGTTTCTGCCAAGAGAAAAGCACCGGCTTCTAATTAAGTTCATGTTTTTGCAGTTCAGTGATCCCAAATCTGATGATTTCTGGAAGGAACTGAGTGCTGTTAATTATCGAGCAAAATCTCAAGGTACCACTTGTGAGAGGCAGCAGGGATGATGCCATCCCCAAGACCCCTGCACCCGCAAGGGCTCACAGTAAACTCCCTTTATTCAGATTTCCACTCGAAGGCACTGAAAACAGCAACTATTGAGACACTCCAAGTGCCTTTGATCTATCTGAAAAGCGGGCACAGGGTTCAGGATGTATCAGCAGGGCAGATTCCACAGCAGATGGGCTCAGGACTGGAGCCGAGCCCTGGAGCAGGCACACCCTAAACATTCTTAACTGCTCCTCTAAGCCAGAAGGGTACAGGAAAATAGTTGTTTCTCCAGCTGGTGCTCCCCTGCAATGCTGTCCCCTCTCTGGTCACTCCTCATGAGCTTTGGAAGGGTCCCTCCATCCCAGTCCATCTTCCCCCAGGGTTTTCCTGGTGCTGGTGCAGCCTCTGGCCTGTTTCGCTTGACATACCACAAGAAATTTCAGCTGAAAACGTAAATTCAACTTTCATCTTGCTGATGACTCACGGCTCTACTTCTCCTCTCCAGACCTCCCTCCTCCTTCTCACGCTGTGGCTCAGCCTCTCGCTGACATTTCCGCATGAGCACGCAGCCAGCAGCCAAACTGCAGCATCACCAAACCAGAGCCAAGCCCCCCTTTGCCCTCACAGCCCCTGCCCACATCTCCACTGGCCACTAACCCAGGCCAACACATCACATCTGAGTTAGATCCTGCTCGGCGGGCTCAGCCCTCAGCGCTGCCTGGACCTGGCAGATTGCTCTTTGCAGGGAACATCCCCGAGACAAGGTGTCTCCTCACATGCACAGAGCTGGAGGTTTTGTCCTGGCCGTGGTCACCCTGAGCCCTGATGGCTGTGACAGCCCTTCCCCAGCTCTGCCACACAGCACATCATCCAGGCTGCTGCATCCTTCCTGCTCTGCAGCAGCTGCACAGGAACATCCATGCTGGAATGCTGCAAATTCCTGCCAATATTTGGTGGAGAGTGTTTTTCAGAGCACGTTGGTGCCTGTATGGGACTCCCTGGTTTGAGTTGCCTCCATCTGATTTGGTGGGTAGCGCTTTTTGGGGTGGAAACATCCTAACTGTGGTGGGTTTGTGAGACACGGTGCACTGCAGACGTCTGTGCCGCTAAGGGGATGTGTAGGTGCTTCTGTAAAATGAAGAATTAGTAATATGAATAATTAGTAACATCTCATAAGAAAACATCCTGATTTTGGCTGAAAATGCTTCAAATATTAAAGCTCATTGGAGAGATGGGCAGAAACACCAAGTCTCCAAGTACCTGAGACTTGGTCTCATGGTGCCAAACTCTCTTGCAGGGCGACTGGGAGAAGCAGCCACTTCCCACCATCACTGAGAGGCTGCAGGAGCCTGTCCCCCACTGCCCACCTGCCCCGGGGCCTCAGCCTGCTGCCCCCATCCCCCTCAACCTGGGCCAGCTCAGGAGGGACTGACACGATGCCTGTTCCTTCCATCACGACGGGAAGTGCCTCCAGGCAGGAGCATCCATGGGGAACATCCCATCACTGTCCCGGCATCCTGCCCACACAGCGATGCCAACTAGTGCCCTGGCCCCTGCAGGGGGGTTAGGGCTCATGAGCTAGAGTTCAAAAAGTACTCTGGAGATGGAAAGTGCTATATTTAGTGTGTTATTAGCAATCCTGGCTCTGAGTAATGCTGCTTTCCACCCCCGGAATGAGAACGTGGAGGTTTGCTATTGTGCTAAACCCAGTGTGGCCCCAGGGAGTGGGGGGAGAGCCTTGTTTTCCCACAGGGAAATTGAGGCATGGACATGTGTGGGAGCAGCATACAAGCCCTGCAGTGCCCCATGGTCCCGTTTAGCTCAGGATGGCTCCACAGGTGCTCTCCCACCCTGCCAGCCATGGAGGGGATGGAGGGAAGGAGGGAGGGATGCCACGATGCCCACCCGACACCCACCTCCCCCCCATGCTCCTTCCCCACTCCCCCATGCTGGGATTGTTCCTCTCAATGCCACCAGATGCCAATGGCTGGGAACAAATGATACCTCTGGGATAGGGTTTAGAAAGGGGGAGGGATGTGGTGGGGAGGCACGGGGAGGGGAATGACAAATCTTTTGTCAGGGAAAAATTACTCCATTAAATATCTAAATGTAAAATAAATTGCTTTTTGCTGTCGAGCTCCAAGGGGAGAACACTCAGGAGGAGCAAAGGAAAGACTGGAGGTGCTGCAGGAGAGTCCATGTCCATCCCAGCTGGCTGCCTGCCCTTGCTACCTTGGGACAGGTGGGATCCAGGGCAGGTGGCCCCCAAAATTCACCCTCCCAGTCACCTCGAGTGTAAGGGACAGAGCACTGCACATTGGAAAGGCCTTTTTAAAGCAAAACATGATCTTCCATGCACAGAGTGGATCCCTGGCTTGGCAGGGAGGCAGCATGCTCTTTCCCTCGGGACAGGACTGTGGCCACCCCCTCCTCTGCCCTCCTCCTGCCACAGGGAGGGCAATCAGCTCCTATTCAAGAGAAAAATTCATCTCAATCTTGTTTTTTAACGTTTTCAGAAAAACCAAAGCATTTTCAGAGTTCACGCTCTTGCCCGTAGCGCTTGTGGCACGAGGTTAAGGAATTGAAATCAGCTCTAAAGAGGGTATGCACCAAGCAAACCTAGTCAAGGGAAAGAAAGGGAAGAGCATGGAGTGAGATTATTTCTTCAGGCGGGTGAAAGCTTCAGCAGAGATCAGGCCCTCGCTGTGCCCAGCGAGGGGACCAGAGCAAAGGATAATTGTGGGGATGGGCTGGAAGTCGCTGACCCTTCCCTTTGGCAGCGGGGGGTTCATGGGATGTGTGTGTGTGTGATGGAAAACCTTCCCCGATGCCTCCGAGCCTGGCTCTGCACTGCCAGGGGCTGCGGGGCTGGCAGCACAGGGCTCAGCCTCTGCAGGCCTCCCCCACCCCTGTTGGGAGCTGAAAGGAGCCTGTCTGTGCCTCAGCCCCTTCCCTCCATAGCCCCCACGAGTGTTCCCACCCCAGCTGGGGGTCCCCAGGGCAGAGCCAAAAGGAGGTGACACCCATTGGAGTGAGGACAGACACAGCAAGGGATCAGAGGCTCGTCAGGTATGGAGGCTACAGCTGTATTAACAGCAGAGTTAGTTTAAAAAAATTCATTTCCAGGCAGTGTGAAACTACATTTTGGGGGAAAGAGTTTTCAGCAAAGTCAAAAACTGAAACCACTTCATATGCAGTCAGGCAAAACACTGTTTTCAGGCCAATTAACCCATGGAAAAGAATTATTGCTGCAGCGGCACTGCTTCACTTGGGAAATAGAGCAACAGAGTCTTTGGACTTTTTAGAATCTCTTCCTCTTCTCCCCTCTAATTCGACCCAAATTTGCTTGATAAGTTCACTGCAGGTGATTTCCCGGCTCTTCCAGCTGACCCCGGAGCCAGCTGGGGCACCCAAGGGCCAGGAATTCTGCTGGCAGCTCCTAATGGGCTCTTCCCTCTCCCCATCCAGCGCCCGCAGCACCTGCTCAGTAAAAGCCCTTCACGCGCTTGTTGTCGGGGTCGAACGGGGACTTGGTGTGTGCTCGGGCAGGGTAGGTCACTCCCATCCGCTCCAGCTCGTAGCTGCCACTCTTCACGAAATCCAGTGAGACCTGTGGGGCAGAGCCATGGAGAAATCCCCATTAGGTGCTGCAGGGCACCAGCCCCCTGCCAGCATCCAAGCTCCATCCCTGGGCAAGCTCCCACCCCGCCCCACAGATCTGCTCTCCGCAGAAAACCCAGCCCTGCCATTCCAAGAGGATGCACAGAGAGAAGGAAAATAGATGTTGAAAGTGCTCTGATAAAAAAGAAAAAAAAAATCGGTCAGTATTTGAAATTTTTTTTTTTTACTTGTGGAGTTATACAGTGAAAAGGAAAAAGGAGGTGGGAAAGGAAAGGGGAAAGGAACAACATTCACCACGGGGAGAAAAGGGTGTTCCTAGGGGCAACTGGACCACAAACCACTTGAGCTGGGACTCTTGCACTGATGCAGGATTAAAAGCCAAGGCAAGCAAGAGGATGAAAGCACAAGCATATGCACTGCTCACAGCTGGCACAGAGAGGGTCCCCAACCCTCCGTCCCCACACGGGTTCCTTGGCCTCTGACTACAGCACACTGCTTAATGAGGGCATCTGGTTGCCTCTCCAGGAGTCTCTCAGGCTTAATTAAGAGCCTGCTCTGCTCCTATTGGACATTGCTCCCTATAACATAAGTTAATTCACTACTGCAATTAAATACTCGGTTGCAATTAACATCTGAGGCAGTGCTGGGGCCAGAGAGCATTGCTGGGACCTCACAGAGTGACAGCAGGTGAGACTGACCTTGCCACTGAGCCGTGACATCCCTCGCACTCCAGTGACACCCCTCGCACTCCAACCTCCACGGGGGAAGCACAAAGGAGCTGCTGCCCCATCTCACACCCCAGATGACAGCAAGGGGTTTGTGCCTATGGCTTCAAACCAAACCAGCACTATGTTCCCCCCATAAGCCCCCTGGGGAAGGAGGCACAGCCATCCCCAGAGGGTCTGTACTCACTGGGCCCCCCTCAGGGTCACGGATGTAGCCGTAGGCGATGGTTTTGTCAATGGCAAATCCAAAGTCTGCCCGACGGATGTGGCCGACCACCTTGCCATCCCTCCAGATCGCCTCCAGGCCGAACATCGGCACCTTCCTGTGAGGGGAGGGCAGAGCTGCCATCAGCAAAGCCCCACATCAGTCCCCCACAGGCCAGAGGAGTTTGGGGAGGCCAGGCCCCACCTCTGCCCCAGGCCAGTCCATGTGCCAGGACTCCCATTGTCCACAGGTCCATGAACATCCCTGTGCTCAACCCAGGCACTGGCGAAGTCCCTCCACCCCAATTTGCACAACCTCCCGCTGCTCTGGGTGAAACGAGACCAACCCACTCCCTGTCACACCGTTTCCAGCTCCCATTAAAGGATCCAACAGGGAATTTGCGGTGGGATTTAAATTAGAGATGGAATTAGAGCATGGAAAACAGCTGAGCTGGCTCGTAACCGAGCTCCACGTGTGTGTGTGTGTGTGTCTGTGTCTGTGTGTGTACCACTTGTGTGTGTACACACGGGGTGGATGGGGCTGGGGAGGGTGCTGGTCCTGGGGTGGCCGCTGGTGCTGGAGCCAGCAGTGTTACTCAGCAGTGGTACTCACTCATCTGTGGTGAAGCAGACGAGGCGGCGGAAGATGCCCTTGGCTTTCTGGGCCTCCACAGCCTCCCGGCCCAGGAAGGGGACGCTGGACTTGAGCTTGCAGGTGAAGGCTAAGCCGGCTTCTAGCGGGGTATCGTCGGTGCGAAGGTCCGCATGCCAGTGCCTGTACCCTGCAGGGAGCAAGCAGGGGTCAACCAGGTGATCTCTGCCAGGGTGAGCAGCATGAGGAGGCCAAGACATCACCCCTGCCTCCTGGACACCCCTCCATTCACTTGGCCCTAGACAAAGCACCCTCGAGAGGAGCACATATTGGGGAAATCACAGCGCACAGCACTGGGACCAGTAGTATCTCTGCCCCACTAACCCGCCCTTGAAGCTGGGGAAAAGCTCTTTGCCCTGGTCCCCTGGCTGGAGGAAAAGCAGCGAGTGCTGCTGTAAGGAGAGCAAGGCACCTTTCTCGATGCTGAGGCTGTCGATGGCTCTGTAGCCGGCGTTGGTGATGCCGTGCTGGGCCCCCGCCTGCATCACCGCCCGGTAAACCTTCACACAGTCTGCCTTGGGCACGTGCAGCTCCCAGCCCATCTCGCCCACGAACGACAACCTCATGGCACGGACCTGTAAACGCAAGAGGCCAAACATCCCTGAGATGGAGACGGGCTGTGCAGGGTGGGAGAGGCTGCAGAGCCACGTACGCCCATGTCGGGGGGAAAGCCAGCTTGCCTGGGCACCCTCGGGCACCTCGTGGTGGAAGGCAGTTCTGTGCTCTTTCTAAGGCAGTGTCAGACTGAATTTCTCATCTGTGTACAGCCCAAGGCGGCACCTCAAGCCCAGCTACCGTCAGTGCCCAGGAGGGATGGACAGTGGGCAGGGGTGGCTCTGTCAGCACCCCCTGGCCACTGATTGCAGGGCTGTTGCAGGCAGCCCAGCTGGGGTTAGATGTGATGCTCCAGCTCCAGCCGAGCTTTTGTCTCCCTCTGCTGATCCATTGAGGTGGGAAAGCCGGTCCCCAGCAGGACTGTCCTGCTTTGGGGCACTTCATGGCTGCTGTCCCCCAGGGATTTCCCGACTTGGGATGGTGCTCCCACAGCAGAGGCACCCAAAGGCTCCCAGGCAGGAGTTGAGCCCAGTGTCCTGACCCACATCCCACTCAGCCCAGGGAGATGCTCAGGATTTCCCCCACGGAGGTTGTGCCCTAAAGCAGTGCTGCCAAATTAGCTCCACACTGAATGCATGAAGCTCCAAAGAGGAATGAGCAGATCAGCACAGGGGACTCGGTGCTTCTCTGGGGAAACCTTATCCTTGGAGATGGAGCCTGCTTGCACTCCCAGGGGAACAGACCATGCTGGGACTGCCCTGTCCATGTTCCCCCAGCTTCTTACCCAGGCAAGTTTGACTGTATCTTCTTGTTGTCCCTATGAAACAGTTGACATTCCCAAAGCTTTCCAGGACAGTTGGGGCCACCCAGATTCAGGTACCTTCCCTGGAGACAGCCTTTGAGTCTGAGCTTCATTTCCCTCTGATTCATCCCATTGTATTTCTTCACTTCCTCCCCCACACAACCCCTCTGGTTCATCCCTTTGTATGCACATCAACTGCAAATACATAGTCGGCCCTGGGAGACAGATGAACTCCAGAGTTGCACCACGGATCGTGAGCTGTCAGTCTTAACAGAGCAGTTTTCAGCTTGGAAGAGACTTCCAGGCAGGTTTGTTGGCTGGACACACTCCACAGACTTGGGACTGGCTTGCCTGTGCTGGCTCCGAGTGTCATTGGGGCAGAAGCTGCATTTTGCCATTTGCTGAGCTCTTACTACAACCAGAGCTGGTCTAATCCTGGTCTGTGCTGTCTAATCCTGGGTACAAACAACAACAGACAACAGCAGCTGCTGCTCAAAACAGGTAGAAGTGCCAAAGGAGTGCCTGGACTCTCCGCTGCGAGGATGGCCAGAGGGCACCCAAATCCATTCCTGCTTCCCCTAATATCCCCCTGCAAAAATAATGCCCTCAAGCAGAGTTTAAGGCGGTTTGTAAGAAGCCTTAACCTTTACAATAGGAGTGGAGAGAAGGAAGGAACCCATAGATATTGGGAACTTATTTTGAGCATCCTCCCAAAGAGCCGTGCCGGGAGCCAGCACTCCCTTGGTCCCTGCAGAGAGTAACAAAGGCTGGCAATCACTTCTTCAGGTGCACACACACAAGGGGTGCAGAGAAGCTTTTTCTTCTACACAAAGGTGTCATCTAATTAGGGAACAGCCAGAGATCAAGCTGCTGCAGCCAGCTTCCATCTCCACTGCGGCAGGAGATGCTCTGGGGACTGACAGGCAACTTCCCGGCTCATTAACCCTGCCTACGACTGCGACTAAAGTGCACTTAACTATCAAGAGCAAGTTACCCCTGGGAGAAACTTCCCCTCAAACCACTGCTGCTCCGGGTGAGCAAGCATCCCAGCAGGAGCTGTGCTCCACAGAAGACACCTTGGAAAATAGGGGTGCCAGTCATTAGCTTTGCACAGGCAGGGGTCAAGGTTGCCCCCACACTTGTGTACCCTGGGCAGGGTCCACATCCCACCACAGAGGTCGATGGGTGATGCCAAGGGCTGGGCTCAGCTGCTGCTGTGGCTTTCTGCTGAATTCCCCTAGGAACAGGTTTTTTTGTTAGATAGCAGCCGGAGCTATGGAATAGCATCAACTCCTGGGTTTTGAGCAGCAATTCAAAAGCATTCTAGAAAATGAAAATCTGAACTTTACCCTGTATCCAGCAGTGAAATTCAAAAGGGGACCTTTCTCTGCTGTTCAATACAATGAGAGACGCTATATATAAACTCACAAACCAGTAGGTAATTTCCAGAGTCATTAACTCTGCTGGAACTCTCCTTTCACTCCAGCTGATTTTGTTCAACTACTGAGTTAATGCATGAAAATCTCAGCGATAACTTTTTAAAGATGTTGGGTTCAGTTTAATCCCCCTGGAAGGTGATAATATCAGCAAAGGCTTCAGCCTGCTGTCCTGAGGAATCCTCCCACTCTAATTTTGGCGTGGGATGGAGACCCTGGTGTTCATTGTTCAATGGGGACCAAAGGAGACTGCCCAAAGGGTGGCTCTGGCAGCAGGAAGGGAGTCTTCCCCCCAGCCCACACCAATTCTGACAGTCAGGGAATTTAGACTCAGAAGAAGATACAAAATTTCTACCAGCTATTTTTTTCCTCACAGGACTGGATTACTTTTTTATAAACTTGAAGTGAAATGCAAATAAACTAATCACACCCTTGGAGGCAAGAACATTTACACACCTTTCCCAGGGGATAAGGAGATTATTATGAGATGATATCAGCTTGCTACAGCCGTGACAAGGGAGGATGTAGGGAGGATTATAACTCATCAGTGGGGACTAAAATTCAAAATTTCGGACAACCTGCATCAATGAATTGGCTTTGGAGTCCCATTAAGGGACACTGGACTCACTGTGCATTTTTGATACCCCAGCCCAGGGCACACTGGTACTGATGGTTTGGAGGACTAATATGACTTGGGCAAAATCTGTGACTCAGTTAAACCAGCCTAAACCCTGGCCAGGCTCTTGCTCACAAATCAAGAAGCCCTAATTTGATTTAGCAGCAATCCCTTCAGCAGCCAGCTGCAGTCGAATTAAAGCCACTCTAATTCTGAATGAAAAGTGGCCGCACGTGGCTTAACCCAATTTCACTAATATCCAACCTGCCTCCAGCTCCCAGCTTTCCTGTTGCCTTTTACAAGATTTACTGCTGCACCTTCACCTCCTTCATCCTCCATCAGGCACAGGCATGAGAGCCACAGTGAGAGCTCGGCATGGTCCCTCCTGCCATCCTGCTCCTCCAGAGGGAAAGGGATGCCCTGGGAACAGAGCTTGCCCAGATTTCCCATGGGAAGGATGGGGTGCAAACTCGACCTTCTCTTCCAAAGGGTGTTTTTGCAACAAAAGGAATATTTCATATGGGATAAACATCAATGTGAAGTCAGAGCTCCTTGGGAAACGTAGCAAAAGCTTTTCCTTGATACCCGAACTTGCCAGCAGCAGGTTTTCCCAGGACATTTCTCTTTTGACAAAATGATACTTTGTGGTCAACAACTCTTCTATTTAGGGTGTTTCAAGCAGGCTCAATCAGCAGCCTCACACATGACAGAACTCCCCAAAGAGCTGCCATCACCTCCTCCCCAGGGATAACATTGGGTGAGGTGGGAGAGGGATTTAAGGTGCTTTTCTCACTGCACCAGGTGAGATGCAGGAGTCCAATCAGGCAGACAGTGCTGTGAAACCTCCCAGCAAACCCCCAGGCTCCACTTCTTTGCAACACAGTCGACACCAAAACACTTTAGGCTGAGCCTTCCTCCCTCGACACCTCTGAGTGACACCACCCATGGCTGCAGGGCCTGGCAGAGGTGCTGGGCTGCCAACCTGGGCAAGGTGCATCTCCAGCAGCTTGCTGAGAACCCCCACCCATGGGTCCCTACCAGGCACCCAAGCCAGGCAGAGCTGCTGCTCATCACCATCACTCCAAAGGGCTTCTTGTCCCCTCACTCAGGCTCCAACGGGCTTCACCTGAGCCATTAGCATGGAGCAGCATCAATTCTGCCCTTTTCTCATCACAGCTGAAGTGAGCCCTGAAGTCTGGGCAAATGCAGGATGATCTGTACTTGTACAGGAGGCTTAAGGCTGTCAGACTTCTCCTGTGATCAAACACAGCGGCTCCCTGGGCTGTCCAGCCCTTATTGCCAGTACCTGACATGCTTTACATTAAATCATCCCTTTTTCTATTTTATGATTAGGGGGAAATGGAAAGTGTCTGGAGTGTCAGGGAAATCTCATCACCAGTGCTCATCCTAATCCATGGGAGGCATCTCTTGTTCCTCTGCCATTGCTGCAAAGCCATGAGTCACCATGTCCCTTCCCCAAGCTCAGCCCAGGCTCTGACACCACTGGGAGGGCAGGGAGAGCAGGCTGGCACCTGGCAGGCAGTCAGGGAGGGAAACATCCTGCTCCCATACTGGATTTTGGCCTTTTCAAATAAAAAATGCAACAAAACCTCACTGCAATAATGTGGAGGCAGACAGGTTCCCTAGCAGAGAATGTCCAGAGACTGCAATGGGTTGCCCAGAGAAAGTATGGATGTCCCATCCCATCAAGGCCAGGTTGGACAGAGCTTGGAGCAATCTGGTCTAGTGGAAGGTGTCCCTGCTCACAGCAGGGAGGTTGGAACGAGATGGGCTTTAGTGTCCTTTCCAACCCAAACCAGCCTGTGATTCTATGCTTGGCTGCACAGGCTGGTGGGTGGTCACTTCAGAGCACAGAGCTCCCGGGGAGCTCAAGGGCTCCGTCCTACCGTGCATCCTGCGGCCGTGGTGATCCTGTGGGTGGAGAAGGGGAAGGCCTCGTTGCTGAGGTCGGTGTCCAGCACTTCTTGGAGGACGACACGGCTGTGGGGAAGCAGCAAAGTGGGTGTGGTGAAAGGACACAGCTGAAAGGACACAAGGTTATCCTGTTGGCAAGACAGACTTCTCGCTCTAAGGAGGAGCTGATGTGGCTGATGTGCAATGCTGTCAGAGCCTCAAAAGAAATTTAATTTCCCAGAAAATGGAACATTGCTCCAGCCAGATCATTGTCATGGAGATCACACCTAGCCCTGCCCAACATGGGGACCTGTATCTGAGACATCCCTCCCTCCATCCATCCACACATCCCTTCTCCCATCCCTCCCTGCATCCCTCCATGGTCAGGTTCTCCCCACGCTCACCTCAGAGGGCCCTGGATGCTCATCATGCCCAGCTCCTCCGAGCAGTCGAGGAGTTTGCACTGGAGTTTCATGTCCTGCAGCACAGAGGTGATGTGGGACCAGTTGTGCTGGGCCACGGCCCCGCCGATAGCCAGGTAGTATCCATCCCCTGGAAGACACCCCCCAGCAGCCTTTCAGGGTCACAAGCCTTGAGCTGGGGGTGATGACCAGCTCAGGTCCAGGCTGGTTTTGCTTTCCAGAGCCTGAGATGGAACCCTGAGCCTCTCCAGCGTGCACAGACCAGGGTGGGCTGCCAAGAGCAGGGGGGTTAAATGGTTCTGGGGCAAGGGAGGGCTTTACTGCCTTTTGTGGGGCTCAGCACAGTGAAAGCCATCAAAATCCCAAAGAAGAAAATGTATAAAAAGCTGTTTGAAACCTGGAGGAGCCTGTGTGTTTGTGAACATCACAAGAAGGGAAAAAACCTCCTTGTCCCTAGAGACCAAGAGCAAAAGCATTTGCATTTTTGTCCCTGTACAGAACAGACCCTTAAGTGTGGAGGGAAATGGGAGCCACAGGTGGAAGCAGGGAATGCTACAGTGACTGAGCCATAACCAGTGCAGGGGTTGTACTGTGCACAAGGAGGAATTTCATCTTGTTGCTAATCCTGGGTGGAAAAATCCCCAAGGATGGTGTTTGAGAGCTGATTAATATGTAATCAATCTTCCCTCTGTCTTTCCTGCCACTACAAAATTGCTCTTTGATAATCTGTCACAATGATAATAAGTGCAGCCACCTACTGTAACTGGAAAAAAAAAGACTTTGCTGTGATTAAACCCCTCCATCGCCCGACAAACCTCACAGCTCTGCCATCCACTTCCCATCACCCTCCTTCCCCTGCGAGTGCCCCAGACAAGAGGGAAGGAGGATTCTCTCACTGGCACCCCATGCTGCTGGGGCAAAGGGGGTGAGCTTGGTCCCACAGCACATCTGAAGGTGACACAGTGTGGGGACAGGGCTCTGTGGGTACAAGTGCACACCCCTGTCTGGTGGCAGCCCCGGAGCTTGGCTGTGCTGCCAGAGCCGAGCTCAGCCTCCTCCTCCTCCTCTGCTGCCTAATGCCATTTCTGCCCTCTGGGCTGCTCTGCTCCCTTTCAATTCCTCTTTATTGCAGCTGATAAGGGCTCGGACAGAGGTCAGAGCTGCCAGCCAGGGCTGGACAAACCCAATAACAGCGATGAGCAGTGCAGGGCCCCGGGGACAGGAGTGATAATCAGGTTACAGGGACCAAAGGACAGAGGTGGAAAAAGCCAGGTGGCTGCCATTAGGAAAACGCAATAACCACCACGCCTGCAGCCCCTCCAGCGTGGCAGGGATGGAGGAAATGCTGGAACAAACCTGTCACCATGGCTTCCTGGGACTGGAAAGGTCTTTGGGTGGAAAATGCAGTGGGAGAGGCTGGGAGCTGAGCTGCAGGAAGGTGAACCCAGCCAGTGCCCACAGAAATGCTCCCACCTCCAGCACCCCCGTGCTCAGGGCTTTTACCTTCGAAGGCAGGGGCCAGGGGGGAGGTCGGGTCCCCAGGGCTGATCCTGCTGACAGTCAGGTCACTCTCCACACCCCCCTGCTTGTTCAGCATGCAGGTGTACACGGTGGAGCCTGCGGGAAGGACACGGGCACTGCTGCCCATCAGCCAGCCCTGGCAGAGGGAGCTGGGTAGCAGGAAGGTTTGTCCCCATTGTTCCATCAGCTGCCACTGCCTTACTGTGCCCTGATGGATCCTGGGGTATCCCAGCACCAGGAACTATGATTTTTTCTCTTTGCTGTGTGAGGAGCTGGATCTTCATCCTTGGAAAAGCCATAACCAGCCTCCCAGCCCCGGAGAAGGGAACAGCAAACCACAGCTGGTGAGGGTTGTGCTTGATTTACTCCAGTACCCATCACATCTCCAGCTGTGATCCACAGCTGGACCCAGAGGGCCAGATACCCATCCCTGCCCCCCCCAGCTCAGAGCACTGAGACTCTGTACAAAAAAGCAGAATCCAGTCTTGTGAAGACAGGGAAAGCAGACTTTCCCACAGGATTCCCACATCTTCTGCAAGAGCAGCATTCAAAATAAAAGCCAGTTTAGGCCCCCATGGGGTTTTCTGGGGTGGGATTTCCCTGGCATGCAGCTGAAACGAGGTACCTGGTGCTTTGCTCACGTCAGCACTGAACAGCCAGTTCGCTGCTTTTGTAGCTTCAGGTCCAACCAAGTAGAATTTCCCAAAATAAGACATGTCAAAGAGAGCCAGGGCATTTCTGCACGTTAAGCATTCATTCTTGATCTAAAATTAAAGCAAACACAGCGCTGAAGCTGAGCCTTGCTCTCACCTCACAAAGGGAAGCACAAATTAAAGCATTTATGTAATGTGAAATGATAGCAGGACACTTGTCTGGTGCCTTTGAAGGCTGTACAACTTCAAAACATTCCTGAAAAAATCAAGTGTTAAATGGAGCAAGCCTGACAAGCAATCCTGTATGCTCAGTCCCATTCCTTACCTCACTAACGCAGTGACAGTTATAATTAATAACAATTAAATTTTATCAAATTGATTTTTTTTTTCCCTAAGCTGCTATCAACAGTTTCATTTAGGAAAGTAGCAGCTTAATTCCTGCTTCTGGGCACGGTCCACACACTCCTCTTAATCCTTTTGGAACGTTTTTCCCCAGTTTTAGGAGAAGCTTGCTGCCTCCCCTCCCTCCCAACTCCACCCAAAGAAGGTTCTGCTGCCTCTGGCCGCCCCAATTCCAGCTGTGGCCAGGGGAAAGGCGGGGCTGTCAGCCCTGGACTCACAACGTCGTGGTGAGGGGGGAAGTCGAAGGTGTACTCGTCCCCCAGCAGCCGGCTGTAGGTGTAATCCTTGTGGCGCTCCCGGCCGTAGGCGCCGTAGTAATCGTAATCCAGGACCTGGGGGAAGAAGTGGGAGGATGGGGACAGCGAGGAAGATGATGTGAGGCTGAAGCCAAGGCTCTCCTAGTCATACTCACCCCACTCCAGGAGAGGAGTGGGTCCATGAAGGACGTGGCTGTGGTGATGGGTCCCCTCCCTGGCATCCCTCCCCACCCCAGCATCCCTGCCCACTGCTTTCATCAATATATCACTACCTCTTGTTTGGGGGCACTGCAGGCAGATACTGCCTGTTGCAGAGGGACAGACAGACAGACAGACACAACATGCACACACAGATCTTCCTCTTTTTGCTGTTACAGGGAATTATAGCCCGAAAGCTCTTATAGACCCTTTTTGGGGACATGCAACTGCTGCAGCATATCACACACTGCACACACAGGATGCATCCTACGTGCTCTGGGCACAGCTGGTACCCTCTAGGCTCAACACCCCCCAAAACACATGCCATGCTTACCGGGGCTGCTCCCCCGGGGCTGAACCAGCCCGGCCTCTCCCAGCCGTGCCGCTCCTGGAAAACGCAGCCCTGTCGCAGCAGCTCCTACACCAGACAAATGGGAACAAATGGTCTTAAAAAAAGCCTTTTCACTGCTTTCTGAGCAGCGTTCAAGCTGCCCTCCTCAGGTGCAGGTTCGTGCTCCAGATCAGATTTGTGACCCCTTGGTTTTGGCTGTCAGCAGCCAAAATCAGCACTGCAGTTTGTCTTTTAAAACAGTGGCAAACTTGCCTGCAAATTGCCTGATTTTTATCCCCCCCCCCCAAAGGATATTTGCCTCAAGGGTAGTCGAGAGGCAGCATTTGAGCAGCCCAGCTGTGCACCCCCAAAAACCTGTGCTACAGTGCCCAAATTACTGACTGAGAGATGCTACATCCACAGAGCAAGATTACCCCTGATGTTCACAGACTAATTATATAATAACATTTAAGATTTATACAGCAACCTTCTCATTCCTCCTCTGTGCTCTCAGGAAAATCTCTCTGCACGCAATTAATTAGGGATCCATTAAGATATTTTTGTTTGGGGCCTCTGTTCAGAAAAGAATAGATTTTGTTGAACATTTCAGAAATGATTCAGTGCCTATTTATAAAACACAGCACATGTTCTGGAGCTGCATGGATAAATACCAGGCTGTCAGTCAAATGGGCATTGCTTATTAGACAAGCTATTAAAAAATAAATTGCATCCTCAGTGACAGAAAACAACCAAGCTGTCAACCAAACACCGGGGGCTGGAGGGCAGGGATGTCTGTTTTACTGCTTGAGCCTCTGCTCTCCATTGGAAGAGGGATAGTGTGATATGAATCAGAGACAGGCAGAAATGGGCTTGGGAAATGTGGCTGCTCCTTGCCAGGGCTGGGAATGGGGTTGGTGGGGATGTGGTGGGACAAGCCACTGATGCTGAGTCACTCCAAGCACCCTGGGGGTGCTGAGTGATTTGGGGGGCTCTGAGCTGCATGGCTTGGGTGTTGCTGGTGCTGCAAAATGCTGGAAACTGGGTTTTTCTCACAAGTGCTACATCTAAAGGGTGCTCACCTACAGAGCTTTGTGCAAGGAAGTGGCTGGCAAAGGTAGGAGCTGGGGAGAGCTCTGGCTGGTGGCTCCAGGGAGTAAAACCACTTAGAGGGTGCTGGCAAAACCACCTCTGCAGAGGCACAGCTGCTCCCCACTCTTCCCACATCCCTCCTCATGTCCTGGCTTCTGTTTTGGAGAGAAGTTGCTGCTGAGGTGATAGGTCCTGCTGCTGCAGGACACGGTGAGCAGCAGCAGGAGATTCATTCCTGTGAGCATTTGGCATCCTCATCCCTGGCAGCTGCCCCCGAGCTGGGCTGGCAGTGAATCGACTCAGCCTCTGAACTCTTCTCTTCACTTTTCCCTTGCCCAGTGGTCATCACTGAGCTCTTATGCCATTTTGCCAAGTTAAATATTAAAGGAAAGTTTGGCATCTCTACCATTAAACTGTCCATGGCCCCAGCACCCTCACAGGGTGCACTCAGTGAGCTTTGGGATTGGCAGGGATCTCCCCAGGATGGATGGATGGGAGCACGGATGCAGCACGATGCTCTGGGGAGCGATACAGCTGCAGCCACTCCTTGTGACCTCTTCTTTTGCTGCAAGGATGCTGTGAGGGTCTCCCATTGCTCCTCATATGGCAAAATGTCCTCACCTCATGCAGGGGGTCCTTCCTCATGTTGCGTCCTGCCAGTGGCTCGTCATGGGGGAAGACAACGGAGTAGTTCTTGGCGTAGGACTCGTGGCTCCGCTCCCGGATCCAGCGGTTGTTGTCGGTGAGGGAGTGGTGGAACCTCCTGGAAGGCAGGGAGAGAGCAGCGTCCCAATGGGCCCACTAGTTCCTGGGGTGCCTCCTCTTGACCAGATCCAGATGTGGATGCAGCTGCTGAGGTGTAAAATTGCTATTTCCTGCACCAGTTAAACAGGTAGAAGAGCAGAGGAACCAAGTAGGGCCTGGCGCTGGCCAGGAGAGCCAGCACCCCTATCCAGCCCTACTCCAGAGTGACTGGAAGCAGAATACATCCCTTCTGGAGGGGGGAAATAATAAAAAAAGAAATGAAACTTGAGGTTAATTCTGCCCTGCCAGCCTCAGAGCACACTCTGGATTCAAATGCAGCCCAACGAGGGAATGAGCCCTGGACATTCTTTACATTTTTCATCCAATTCTCCCCAGGTTGAAATACAAATAAAACCCAAATAATTTTAAATTCGTTTGACATATTTTCATCTTTCAAACAGAAAAGCTCCTTGAAGGAATGTGCCAGCTCAGCACACGCTCAGGTTGTTATTACCAGAGACCTATAACTCATGGAGAGCAGCCCTGGGCACTGTGGCACCTTTCCCTGGGCTGGAGAAAAGGAGGCAGGCAGAGGATGAAAGGCAAGACAAAATGTCATTTCTAGGGTCTTTTAAAATGATACTTTGAGCTTCCCTCCCCACTGCCTGGGTTCAGAGGAGAGGCAGGGCACCGGAGCTGAGCTATGCAAGCAATGCAAGTGATGCTCCCCAAAAGCGGCCATGGGCTCTCTGTGAGAGCAGCTGCCTCTTCTGCTGGCAGGGGACAAGCAGAAGGTGACACATGGCATGTCACTGGCACCCCTGATTGCCCCATCAGCCCCAGCCCCTTCTCCAACATGCTGAATTTTTGACAGCAGCAAGCGGGCAACAGCTGCCAGATGAAATATTTACAAGCGAGTGTTTTGAGAGGATAAATATTGAAATGTGCAGAAAAGGGAGTTATTTAAATAGGAGCTTAGTAATCATCACCCAAAGGAAAAAAAATGGGACTGACAGCTTGATGACAGGGCAGATGGGATATGGGGGATGCTCCATCCAGGTGCAAGGGATGGAAAGCCCCCGGCTTCTCTAAGTGGGGCTGGGGTCACCCTGAAAGGGCTGTGGTGGTGCCAACCCAGTGCCTGTCCAGTCTGGGGATTTCTCCATCGCTCCATCCCCATCCCTAGCCCAGCTGGTAAAGGAAGGGAGATGGAGGCATCTCCCACTGATCTCTGCAGGCCCCAATACCCCACTCCCCCAGCCTGAGTCAGTGGGGCACTTACAGCTTTACCACTAAAGCAACAGCATTTTCACAGCTTTGTCCCCGACAAGGTGGTTGCTGTCACTAACAGCCCTGTAAGAAAGCCCACACCCAATCAGAGATAATCAAGCAAGTCAAAAGCAATTACTGAGCCAACATCTGCACAGTCAAAACTCTCGGCCCGTGTGGAGCTGCAGAGGGGGGCAAAGCTAATCTTTCTGCCGTTGAAATCATCCCCCCCATTATTAAGTTAGAGGATTAGGCACGGCACTAATTGAACAACAACAAAACCCAAACGTAATTAGCCCGTCCTTCCCCATCACCGCCATCTCCTTGTGCCTGATGGAAGCTGTTCGTGTAGAAGTGGAATGAGGCAAATGAGATAAACCCCACGTGTAAATTCATTAAAGCCACTGCGTGTAATTGATTCCAGCTCCTCGGAGGGACACAGGCAGTGGCACAGATGCTGCCAGGACACCCACTCCTGATTCCAGCAGCCAGTCCTGCCTTGAAACTGTCCCCAAGGATCACCCAAGGATGAGGGGTGACAGGCAGGGTGACTTGCCTGATGTCATAGCCATACATGTCCTTCTCCGGCCGCCCGTGGATGATCCAGTGAGCCAGTTCCCTCCCACAGCCGCCTCCCAGCATCATCCCTGGGGGAAGAGGCGAGGATATAGATGAGGCCAGAAGGCCAAGCACAGTTGTGGGTGCCTGGCTCTGCCTGGGATATGATGCCCAAGGTGTGATTCCTTTGGGTCTCTCTTACCAGCGCTGTTGAAGCCACAGCCAAGGAAGAACCCTCGGACTTCTGGAGCTTCTCCCATGAGCGGCTTGTGGTCGGCTGTGAATGACTCTGCAAGACAGAGGGGATGTGTCAGTGAGGCCAGGACAGGTTTGTGGGGACACATCACACACTTTAGGAGCAGGTTTCCTGCAGCTTCCAGTGCTGACCTCATCCTGCTCCCAGACAGATCAGTGGGGCCAGAACTGGACCAATACCAAGCACTTCCCAGCTTGGGAGTAGACTGAAAATTTGGGAAACAAAATGAATCCCCCAAAAGAAGTTGCACGAGGCGCTGTGAGGGCTTTTTCTTTATCCCGATCCCCCAGTCAAGGGGGCTGCACTGATCTGTTTGTTGCCTTTTCAAAGTCTGAGCCACATTTCATGATGACTGTATTTCACCTTCATTGAGTTCTGCTGGGAAATTCCATGACTTTCAGCTACTTTGTTCAGCTGAGGGACTGCTGCTGATGTCTCCCCAGACTCCTGTGCTAATGATGTCTCCTGCTGCCAATGCTATTCCACAGGGCCATCAGCCACAGTCCCTATGCAAGTCCTCACTAGGGAGGACAACAAAGCACCCTAACAGAGGGGTGCAATCCTCCTCCCTGTTTTGTGGTGGTTCATCCATCCATGTGAAAGGAGAGAGGGAAAATGGAGTTCAGCCCGGTCCTTCCCCCCTCAGCAATGCCCAGCTTGTTTCCCATGATCACTGGAGAAGGCAAGAGCAGAGCCACAATATTTCCACTGTCACCAGAGCAGCTCCTCATGTGCCACTATCCCTGTACTGATACAGCAGATTAAAACTCAATGGAGCAACACCCAAAGCACCTCCCCTTCCTTCCAGCCCTGCTGACTTTGCCCTGGGACAGACAGTGAGGGCTCCCTTGGCACAGTTACTCACAGCAGAGAGGACAAGCCTTGGCTGTTTGCTTCAGCCCAGCGTGACTCAGCTGTCACAAACTGCTGGTTTAAATCAAGAAGGAGAAAAGGAGGAGCACTGACCTTTGGAAATGGCATTACTGTACTACAAAGGATAGACATTCATCTACCAGAAGCCAGGTCTCCACCAGCTCTGCTCACACCGCAGTGTAATCAAACCACCGGACCCAGGGCCAAGGTCTCCACCTTGTACACATCATGTTTGATCAGCCACGGGGCAGGAGACGTGCCCTACTTTCCCCTCATACAACCATAAAGGCCTCAAGGGTTTCCTTTTAAGTGCCTCAGCAAAAAGAGCTTTATTACAGTTTCTTTTTTAGCATATGGTGGATTTTAAGGCCAAACCAAGTGTGCAGGTCTAGGGTTCGATGGCTGCCATCACCTCCAGCTGCCACTGCAGCAATATTATGGCCTTTGATTCCACACCAGACAGCCTAGGATGTAAATCTAGGTGAATCTAATGTCATTGGCCCAGAACAAAGTAGTAAAAATAATTATATAAGATAACACTTGGTAAAACAATGGTCACTGCTTGAAAAAAATCTGCCCCTCAATTTTCCAGTCCAGTGGCCACAACACTGTCTGTAAATCTGTGCTATTCACACCCAGATTGGACCAAGGCAAAAAGCTCCCCAGGGAAATTGTTTTAAACTAAGAGAGGGTCAATTTAGATTATAAGAAATCTACAAGATTATAAGACATCTATAAGACTATAAGAAATTATAAGAAAGGAGTTATTTACAATAAGAGTGGTGAGCCTCTGGCACAGGTTGCCTGGAGAAGCTGTGGCTGCCCCGTCTCTGGAAGTGTTCAAGGCCAGGTTGGACAGGGCTTGGAGCAACCTAATCCGGTGGAAGGTGTCCCTGCTCATGGCAGGGGGTTTGAAACTACATGATCTTTAAAGATCCATCCAACCCAAACCATTCTGTGAGCCTGTGAATCTATGATTCTATTTCTCCACCCAGGCTAAGCCTGGAATGCCACCCCTTGGAAGATGACACCACTGCAGCCAGACCACCAGCACTTTCTCTGCCTTCAGAGAGTTTTCCTTCTTCCCAGGTTATGAAGTTTCCCTTTGCCTCCAGCAAGATCCTGGGTGGAACCCCAGCCACTATGGTGCCACCACAGCCGTGTTACCTGGCCCACAGACAGTGGATTTAATGCCCGTTTTCTCCAGCACTGGTACTCTGTTGATGGCACCTTCGATGTGTTGCATGAAAACATCCCAATCCAGATCAAACAGGCCAAAAGCAAATTTTTCAGATACCTGAGGGTGGGAAACAGGAATCAGGACACAGAATAGAGTACAGCTGCTGCTGTAAGAACTTCTCAGCTCTGGCACCTGCACCTGGATGAAGGGATGATGCACAGGGCAGGGACTGCACAGTGGCCTCTGAATTGCCCCAGTCCAGCCTTTTAATCTCATTCCTGTTGCCTCTGTATTGCCTGTCTGTGCCACAGACAGATCCAAAGGGAAGATGCTCTCCCATGCTTTGCCCACCAGCCCCACAGAGGTTGGTACCCACAGCATCCAGGTGTTGAGGCCCTCATGCCTGCGCCCATCCCTCTGAGGTGGGTTCCCTGGAAACCTGCCTTGTTCCCCCCAGAAAACCTCCTGGCACTGCTCACCTCCTCCCAGAAGATGGGGTTTGACTCATATCCACCCACGGAAAGGGCATCGCCTTGGAGACGGAGATAGACCGAGGCATCGTGATCGCGAACATTCGGCATGTTCTGAAAAACAGGGAGAGGGAGTGGAGGGGTGAGAGGGGAGTGAGAACAATGAGGACACCCCTACACGAGGTGGAGGTCCAGGACAGAGGGTGGGCACCTGCAGCAGTGACCTGCCAAGGATGGGAGCAGCAGTGACTCCCTGGGTGTTCCCTCAGCCCTGAAATTTGGGTGCCTGTGTTGCCCCAAGAGGAAGGCACCCGGCTCAGCTCCAGCACAGCTGATGAAACCACAGGCAAAGTGGCTTATGCAGACACGTGAGCAGCACTGGGGGTGCTTGGGGGAGCCAGAGCAGCCCCCGTGGTTGATCCTAGCTCAGAAAACATCACTCCTCCGCCACCCGCCTCTGCAGGAGGAGGCAGCAGCTCAACACGTGGGCAGCGGTGCGCGAAGAATGAGGGATTTGTTCTCCTGAATAATGGATGGAGAAACATTTAGATAACATGGAAGTACTGCTGTAGGGCCTACTGCAATCCATGTTGACAAGCGGAATTAGGTGGGTTGAACAAGAGGCACCGAGGTCTGCAAGCTGCAGCCTCTTCTCTGAGAAGTCTTTCTTTCTGAGCACAGCGCAGTGGAGTTACTGGGATAGAAATGTAATCACGGACAGCACTTTTTACAATGAGGCACCTCGTGCTGAAAGGTCAGACACAGACTGTGTCAGTGGGATGGAAACTAATTAATGTGTCACCCTCAAAGCGCTGGTGCCTGAGACAATGAAGCCTCCTTCAACTCCTGAGAAATTCTCCGCAGCCGAACAGCAGGAACAGATTTTTTGGGACAGTTCAGAAATGCTTGGAGAGCTACACCTCTGCCTGCTGGGACTGGGGCTTGTTCAGAAAGTGTTTGGGATCTTTATGAATCTGCTATCAGATTCACCAAGCACAGCAGAGATCCTATAACAATTCTACTGAGGGAAAAAAAAAAAGAAAAAAAAAAAGAAAAAAGGAAGTATCTTGCCGGTTGTAACATTGTTAAATATTAACTTCGACTCTGTTCAAAGTGGTCTGAGAGCCCTGCTAGGTGTGCACCTCCCCATGTGCAGAGCCCAACCTGGCAGCACGTGCCCACGCTAAAGGCAGGAACAGAGTGGGGTCCCACAGGTCTGGGAGTCCCAGGAAAGGGGGGGGGGTCTTTCCTGCCTCACCAGCACTGCCCCCCAGAGCAGAGGAGCCGACCTGCAGCACTGACCTGGATGCCCTCGATGCGCTCGGTCACCACGTAGGCGTGGTGCATCCCCACCAGCGGCACGTGCACACCGGCCAGCCGGCCCAGGGCTCGTGCCCACACACCTGCCAAGAGAGCAACCCCCACTGAGCCCCGACCTGTCCTCCACACCCCCCAGAAAGCCGTCCTGCAGCCCGCCCAGACAAGGGGACACGGACTGCTGCAGACCCTCCGGCTCACAGGATGCAAAGCCAGATGTGCCCTGCAGCCACAGCCCCCATCCCACAGCTTCCCCCCTGCCTTGCACCCTGTACCTGCACAGTTCACCACGCAGGGAGTTTGGATGGTCCCGTGGGCTGTCTCCACTGCATACACCCTCTTCACCCCAAAATCATCAGTTCTGACCTGGATGCCGGTGACCGGGCAGTTCTCAATGATCTGGTGGCAAAGGAAGGGCAGCAGAGTCATGGCAGGGTCACAAGGGCAGGGGGACAATCCACCTCACCTGACAACCAGCCCCCAAATTAGGGGAAAAAATTACTCTAAGAAGTGCTCTGTCAATGGCCATCTCCCTGCCTTGGGTGCCTTGTCTTGCTCCTAAAGGTCTTTTTTCCACCCTATATTTTTCCTGGACCTCACGGTTCAGGAAATCTGTGCCAGCTTTGTCACTGTGACTCAACCAGCGTGACAACATCCTTCTTGGAAAAGATCTGATTCCGCAGGAGCAGTTCTGCCTTAGTGGGAAAGGAGATGGAGAAGGAGGGGATGAAATCTCCTCCCAGAATCGATAGGCATTAATGAGCAATTACTAATTAAGAACTACCGTAGCTCCTCTGGCAGTTGCTGCTCTGGCAAGAGTTGAGCAGGTCCCAGCTGGATCCATGGTGCCATCCTTGGGGACGTACAGGGTGCCGTACAGGTCATCAATGTTCATCAGTGGGTACAGGTCCTTGGTCTGTGATGGGGTCAGGACGTAGGACTCCACACCATACACCTTCCCCAGCTGCCAATGGACAAGAAAATCGGGAGCTGAAGCAGGAAACAAAAGCTTTGCTCATCACTTGCTGCTGGAGGAGGAGGAGGAGACCCCCAGGACATGTTCATCTCCCTGGTGAGGCAACTGCTACACCAAAGCAAACCCTAAGTCCAGTGTGGGGTGGGATGGTCTGCTCAGATTTCAGGGAATATGGCCCCGTATTGCTGCCCGTGCAGCTGGAAAAATGATGCTGCCACTACCTGAGTGGTCAAAAATCCATGGCTGGATTTAATTTTGCTGACTTTGGAGCATTTTGCCAGATTTTGGCAGCTTTATGGAAGTCAGGAGGCTGCCCAGGCCACTCGCAGCTCTCTGGGTGGGAAGGCAGTGAGGGATGGGTCATTCAGAGACCTGGGGACCCCCAGCCCCACTCCCAAATAAATACCACCACCTGCAGCTCACTCAGCTGGGGGACACACAGAGGGGCTTCTCCCTACCGACATGAGCCTTTTGTACTCGTCGAGACGCTGCTTGTTGGAGGCGATGAAGAGCCCCCCGTTCTGCACCCAGCCCGTGTGCAGCCCCGTCTCCGCCGGCAGATCCCGGCTGACCACATCCCGTGTGTGCGCCAGCAGCTCCACCTCCACATCACTGGGACGCAGCTGCCACAGGAGACCTGGGGACACACACACAGCCCACGGGTGGGACAGGAGCTCCGTCACCCCTCCATCACCCGGAGTGGGAATGCAGACGGAGCCCCGTGATTCCACGCGTGTCCCGCGTCACCCTGCGGGGCTCTTGCTCCATCTCGTGGATACGTGGGAGCGCTACAAACCATCGGCTTCTGTTTTCCTTGGGCATTAAATGAATGGGAAAAAGGAGTGGACGACCCCAAAAGTGACAAAACACGAAAGAGCTTGGATAGCTCCTCCTCCCTGCCGAAGGAAAGTGGTTTAAAGAAGGTAAAAAAAAATACCTGTGGAAAAAAAAATGTTTCATTTTCCTGTGGCCGCATGAATCTTAAAAAAAAAAAAAATAAAAAAAATGTGGGGGATGTTCAACAGAAAAGGAAAAATAGAAATGCTGAAATTCTCCACATTTAAAGCCCAAACTCTCCAGCACATCCAGATGCAGCCTGTGAAATGGATTAATTCCACAGACAATGGTACATCTCAAATCATGGGTATCCCAGTGCCCACCCCGGGGAGCACCCGCGCTGTGCCCACCCACTCACCAGCCGTGTGCCAAGTGGTGCCCGAGGTCAGGCGGTCCCTCTCCAGCAGCACGACGTTGGTGACCCCCAGCTTGGTCAGGTGATAGGTGGTCTGGCAGCCCAGGCTGCCCCCCCCGACCACCACCACCTCGGCCGAGGATGGCGGGGGCCGGCTGGGCTCCCCACTGCCGGGGCCTTCCTCCTTCAGGGTCTTCTGGTACGGGACACTCTTCTTGGCCGTGGGCCCCGTGGCGCTGCTGAAGGGCCGGGGGCTCCTCCAGGGGGTTGGCAGGCGGGGGGCAGCTGCCCGCAAGGCACAGCTCACGTAGGACATCTCCACCTGCAGATCCCAAAATCATCTCTCTGGCAGGGGTGGGGATCCCCAGCCAGCCTGGCTGCTCAGCTCTCCACCCTTTCCGTGGAGCAGCATCTCTGGGCACTGAGCAGGGGCTAAACGAGCCCTGGGGCACATCACCTGGGAAATGGGATCCCAGTTGTGCATGTGTGCAGCTCCCAAACAACCTTTGGAGGGACTCCCCCTTAAAAAGGGGGCACAGGCACATCAATCCTGTGCTTGCTCACGCCTTCAGAAACCACCTTTTTTTTTTCCCCTCTGGAATTCAGGAGCTGTTTGGCCACAATGAAGGTGCCAGGTTTGTTCCCTATCAGAGGGCGGTGCAATGGCTGCTGGGGGTGGAAACGGGGACAGATCCTGCCTGCAGATACCCTGCAACCCCTGCAGACCCTGCATGCAGGTCCTGGCTGAGGACATGGCTCAGGAATCACTCCCGGCACATGGTTTTGGGTGCACAAAGGGCGTGCAGTGGGGTCTCACAGGCCAGCACTGTCCCACTCCCACACAAGCCATGGCCAGGGGCTGCCCCAGAGATCATCCCATTGAGACCTCCAACTTGCTGCCACGTGGCCTCCAAAACACTCACTATCCCCTCCCAGTCCCTCCACAGCCCAGCCAAGCTGCAAACTCCTACTCGGAAATCCTGTGACACTGCATGAGTTTCCCGGACAGCCCCCGGCACATTCCCACCAGGATCCACTCACCAGCGAGGCTCACTTGGGCTGGCTTTCCCTGCCGCGATGGCCGTGGGGCCCCTGCCTTCCTCTGATGCTCTCCTCCTCCTCCTCCTCCTCTTCCGTCCCTTCTGCCCCTGCTGCAAAAAATATTAACCAGCAACCGGAGGCGAGCGGAGCCAGCCCGGGAGGAAGGGAAAGAGGGGCTCCTTCGTACCCCTTCTCGTGGCTCAGCTGCTCCTCAGCCAAGACAAAGAGTCCAGCAGAGAGGAGAAATTCAAAACAGGGAGGAAAATGCTGCTTTTCTCCCCGGCTCGGTGCCCAGCAGAGAACAAACAGCCCAGCTGGGGCCAGGGGGACTCGCAGCCTCCCGGGCTCGCTCGGCGCTGGCTGGAGTCGTCAGCTGGATGCCAGAGAGCAAACACGGCGAGGAAAGGCACCATCTGACCCTCCCGCTGCAGTTCCCAGCGGCTACACTTTAAGAGCAGAATTAAAATTAATTTACGCGTTTCCTAAGCCAGACCCAAGAGCTTAAAGGTTTATTGTTCCTCCTGCTCAGGACTCACCCCTGGAATTAGGGCTTGTTCGGGCAGGATACACAAGTTCTCCTGAAGGGCCTCATTCTGGTATCTCAGAGAAGCAGAAGTCAGGGTGGAGTTGGGGTTTGCCTGGTGGTTGGGAGGGATCAGAGTCCCGGCAGCATTGTGGTCCCTCAGGCAGCATCACCCACCCCCTACAGACTCCTGAGCAGCTCAGGAATGGTGGTTTGGGGGGCTTTTACCATCCAGCAGCAACGTGACCCTAGGAAGTGCCCCCCACTGCCTCCCACCCATCCCACACCTCTGCTCTTCCCACTGAACACACTGTGGTACTCAGCCTGCATCCAAATCCCTCCAGTTTGGGAAGGGTTTGAATAGGAGCAGAGGGGTTCACTTGTTCCAGCATTAGCCAATCTCCAGCAGCATTCCTCTCCTTCCCCCAAAATAAAACCAGTTTCTCAGTTTTAAAGAGGGCCCCAATTCCTCCAGACTTCTTCATGGACTAATTGCTCAGAATAACCACAGAGCTGCAAACAAGTCTAAACTCCTGTTTGCAGTGGGGTGTTTCTGTTTGACAGGCCAGAACCATTTCATCAGCATGTCCTAATTATAAATATGACCTTTGGGTTAGACCAGACCTAGAACAATACAAGCCCAAATCTATGTTCAGCAGCATGAGCCCTTCACCAAGCTCAGGACGGACAGTGGGGAAAGTGGCGGTTGCTACAGCCCCTTGGAGCCCTAATGTGACTCCAGAGAAGGAACAAGGCTGGTTATTTTTTGTGATGGTCAGTCCAGTGTAGAGGGAGCTTATGCCAGTTTAATCTTTCTCTATAGTTTTTGGGTTAATTCTAAAATAAGGAGCACAGTGGTTCGTGTGCGCCAGCTGGAGTTTTCTAGGTCACAGAAAATGTGGCTAATGCAGGGATGAGCCAGCCAGGCGTGCTGTGGAGCAACGGTCAGCAGTGCCTGAGCCATCCTCATCCTCACCCTCATCCCTGTGGGAGCTGCACGGGCAGAGCTGTGCACTCACCTCTGCACCACAGCCTGAAACCGGGCTTAAGAAAGCATTACCAGGACATGACCCCAAGCCAAAAGCAGTTGGATCCCACACAGTCCTGCCGGGCAGAGCTTTTCCGAGCTCTCCTCTTGGCAACCCCCTTCCTCAGTATCCCCATCCTGACTGCACAGCAGTTCAGCCCCTTGTTTTGGGATCCACTGGCCTGGGTGGTACGTGAGATCACCCCCAGCCACGGCAGAGGGAGGTGGCCACACACGGGCTGGTCACGGGTCACCGTGGCCACGGGGCGTGCTCGAGGGCCAGCCCCAGAGCCACCACGGGTGGCTGTCACCCTGCAGCAGGAGCAGGACCTGCCGTTCACAGAGGGCAGCCAGCAAAGCAACCACCCCCCTGCCGTGTTTGCTCAGAGCTGGGCAGCCTGGCTGATGGGGGGGATTATGGCAGCAGCTGCTCTTGCTGGGGGGGAAATCACAATAATAAATAAAACCCTGTGCCTGGTGCATCCCCCCTCCTGGGGCAGGCCAGGGGCTGTGCAGGGCTGGAGCCAGCTGTGCTGGTCACGGATGGAGATTTATTCTCCTGTCAATGCCCCTGGAATGCTGCTCCTGGTCTGGTTACTGCACCTGGCCATGGCTGGGCATGGTGGACAAATGCCCCATTTATTCCTGAGGCATCAGACCTTGCACGGGTGCAGACCCCAGGGGAAGGTTTGGCATGAAGCCAAGGAAAGCCACTGTCAAGACACCCACCTGCCAGCTCCAACCACTCAAGGGTTAAATACCCCCAGCCCCTGGGTTGGCAGGCATGTTCCCAGAGGCAGGACATCAAATGGAAGCAGATTTTTGCATTTACCAGCTCTTGGTTCCAGGTTCTGGTGTGCTGTGGCCACCTGATGGCGATGCCAGACCCACTCAGGGCCAGGCTGATATTCATCACCGTCAGAAGAGCACCCAGGTACCAAAACCTGGCATTTCACACACGGTGTGTGTTGGAGAGCTTCCCTTAGACTGAACAGCAGCAGCAGGGAAGGAGGTGATCCCAGGCAGGGTCATCACCTGGAACAAGGTTAAATACCTGGCTGAGCAGCATCTTCCCAAAACAGCATCCAAAAGTTAGTGCCCAGCTCACATCCTGCTTCTCCATGTAAAACACATCCACTCTTTGCCCTTCCAGCTGACCCTGGGAAAAGTGAAGCACTGGGGACTCCAAGAGCAGGAAAAAATTAATGTTCTTAATTAAAGGACCCAGCAGCTCACAGGGACTGAGCTCACAGGCAGCTCTCGGTGAAACCTCCAGCAATGCCTCATATATTTTATAAGCAACTGTGTAACCTCTTTTACTGCTCTGGAATATGCTGCTGCCTGCAGGGCCAAGTGGGATTCTGGAATATAATATTCAGGAGTGATTTAAAGTCATGGAAAATCGTCCTCCTTCTCTCATCCTGCAGGGGTTCAGCTCAGGCAAGGAGAAAAGCCCCAGGAAAGGTGCCTGGATGGAGCACAGGACAACTGTCTGAGCGGCAGCTGCTCCAGGAATGAGGTGAAAGAACCTGACAGGCAATGCGGGAGGGATCTGCTCAGAGTTTTGGACGGGTATGAACCCTTACTGTTCACATCAGGGATCAGGAAGGATCCATCCCCATAAGCACCTGCCTTTCCTGGATTGGCCAAAGCCACCCTCCAGCCCCAGCACAGCCAAGGGGGCTTGAGTGACAAGGACCCCGACACGATCCCAGCCCTCTGGCACAGCAAAAACCATGGCTGGAAAAAAAAAAAAACCAACCTATCAGCAAAATTACACTTTATTTTTTTCGCTGTGGAATTTACTTTGATGTATTGTAACTTAAAAAGGTCTGGAAAAACCACATGCAAAAGGATTTCTAAGTAGCAGCTAAAGTTTCTATTCCAGCATTACAAGCTATTCCAAATGATTTCCAAATTCCCAGCTATAAACTATTTCATAAACAGTTTTATCTTTAAACCCCCTCCACCCTACCCCAGTTAGTGCAGTGCAAAGGAAAAACCCAAGGAATTTACATATTATTTTCCAACGTATCCCATTGCAATTTCGAATGGTCTGCAATGAACTAAAATATATATACAATTTTCTTGCCATCATAAAAAAACATTTCCCTTTCTTATTCACAGATATATTTGTGGCAAATGGCTGAATAATTACTTACAAACAAAACAATCTTTTTTAACAAGTTTCTTACACCAGTAAACACAAGAGGGAGGGTTCCCTGGAGGGGAGGGGGTTTGGCAGGGCTGGGAGGGCAGCACAGGCAGAGGTTGGGGATCCCTTTGGGGCATGAGGAACAGGGGTGTCCTGGTCCCTGTGACAGGTACGTGCTCTCCCAGAGGGGATGACCTCGCCACCTTACAAAATTGGCCACGTTAAAGGGAAGGTCTGTAAGGCTTTGGGATCTGAGGCATAATATGAGCCATCGTTTGTCACATGTGTGTGTGTGTCCCATCCACCCAAATGCACCAACACGGCTCCCGGAATGGGAACAGGGCCCTCTGCTCTGCACAGGAGCAGGGCATTGCCAGCTCTCTTCTAAGCTGAGAACCAAGGGGCTGGGAGGGGTTAGCACCAAACAGTACCTTGGGAAAGCCTTGAGCCCCCTCATATTCCCATCACCTCACCAAGCAAGACCCATGGTGGGCATCTGCCCCAGCCACACTCTGCTGAACCCACCCCACTCCCCCTGTGGCACCCTGAATGGGGGCACTCACAGAGCTCCTGGAGGAATGGGAAGCAAAATAGGGTGGCTCTGGGCTTGTCACTGAGCAAAAGCTTGTAATTCCCAAGTTAACATCATTCCCTTGCCCTTAAGAGTCCCAAACTTCTATTTCTTATCCTGAGCATGGCACTGCTGCTACATCTGGATGCTTCACAGGGTACCCCTGTGCCAGGGACCAAGGGCATCAGCACTGCTCACCCACCCAATGTTGGCATCTCCCAGACCTGCACCAGCACAATGCCAAGACCCCACACTGAGAACACGGCAGGACCACCACGAGTCCCAGGGGAACAAAGTCAGGGCATGGAAGCACCAGCTCAAAATGCTACGTATTGAGGGAAGCTGAAGGGCAGCTCCTGGGGCTCAGATACAGGAAAGTTGTTCCCTGTCACACTCCCACACATGTATTTGTCCTTCAGAAGGGAATTCTGGAGCTGGAGAGTGAAGCCAGTCCCCAGCAGAAGACAAGGGCTGGGATTTCCAGCTGGCAGCTCCAGACTTTGGGAAGAACAGGCTCAGACAGATGGTGCTCAGGACACAGCGGGAATGTCAAAACAGGCGGACCTTTACTTGACAGCAGCAGCAGTAACAGCCTGTGGGAGGAAGAGAGGGGGCAATGCTCACAGCCCCCAAAAGTGCACACAGCTGGGAAGAAGAGATGCTTTCACAACTCAGGGAGAGGAATCAGGAGTTGATACCGTAGCCCTTACTCAGGTGGGTTGGCCCTGAGCTCAGCGAGGTGGGACATGGTCATGGCTGCAAGAAAAATCAGCCTGGCTTGGGGGGGTCCTGCTGAGAGGGAGAGGAGGACAGACCCAGGGACACACGCTCCTCTGCATGTATCTGGTGTCTTGGTGGCCTCCAAAGCCCTTGTGTGGCAAAGCACATCTCCAGTCCTGCAACACGCTGAGACCTCCTGCTCTCACCAGTGGGACCAGTCTGCTCCCTGGGCAGCCCCCTCCACCTGCAGCAAGGCTGCTGGGACTGAGGTGGTTGTAAAGAAAACAGGCTTGGGGATGCCAAAGCGGCTCCTTCCCCTCCTGTCTGATTCGAAGATCCACTTCCAGCCCATGTCTGATGGTCAAAATGGTTTCACAGCTGACATCCCTTCAGAGCCAAGCAACAGCCCTCTCCTCTGTGTGTCTCTGCTCTGCTCCTCACCCTGCCCCCTGCCAGGGACACTGCCAAAATCCTGACCTGGGGAGCCCACCCGAGTGGTGTGGGCAGGGGGTCTGCACTGTCTCCTCGGGGCTGGATCGCTCCCTCCCCTTAGAAACCCCCAAATTCTAACCCTGGCACACCCAGGCACAAACCTTCAGCCTCACCCTCCCACCACCATCACCAGGGTGGTTTTTAAAACACCTTTAAAAGAGAGGTGCAGACCCCCCAGAGTCTCTCAGCTCTGTCCATGCAGGGGGAGCGCAGCTCTCCCGGGACTCTTCCGCGGCTGCTACACCAACGTTATCCGATGGACCATCAATCTTCTATACATGGAACAGGAGCGGGGCCGGGGCGGCCCCGACATGTGCACACACACTGTACAGAGGAAGGATTGCTGAGGAGGCTGCGAGAGCAGTCCTGGGAGGCTCCTGGGAGGTGTCCTGTCGGGACAGGCGTGCTCGGGCTGCAGCGGCTCTGGGCGCTCGACGACTTCCACCAAACATCCCCGCAGTCACTGCACCCCCTCCTCTTCCACGTACGTCGAGGGAAACCAGCCGACCTGTGGGGGATGCACAGAGGTGAGCTGGAGACTGGGGGGGCTCCAAGATCACTGCCCCAAGGCTGACTGAGATCAAGGAATGTTTGGACAATGCTCTCAGGCGCATGGTGGGACTGCTGTCGTTTTTAGGGCCAGGAGTTGAACTTCGATGATCCTTGTGGGTCTCTTCCAACTCAGGATGTTCTGTGATTCTAGAAGGGACCTCCTGTCCTGTCACTGGGACTATTCCCCTGCCACGGGGTGCTTTCCCAGTGAGCCATTTGCAAAGTCCTGGATGTGCCCACAGTGGTGATGGTGGTCAGCCACCACCCTAATTTGGGACAGAGCTATCACCTATACATTTCTTTGGACACACAGGTTGCCCACAATATATAAGGGATCAGGGCATGAAGAATCTGTACCCAGAGCTACAAACTGTGGGACACCAGGCCAAGTCATCAGCTTGCTACTTTTCCTGGAATGCTGAGCCTTCCCCTGGCAGAACCACTCCTACATACATCCCCCACATGCAGGTTTGAAGAAGAGCAGACTCAGACATTGCCCACCACCCACTGCATGCTCCCATCCACCTATGTGCACCAGGATTCACCGTCACTGTCACACAGCATCAACTGGCAACAGAGCAGTGGCTCTCATGAGATGACAGCCCACCCAGGATCCGGGAAAGAGCAAGAGGGAATGTCTTTTGCTGTCCTGACAGCGGGGAGGACTGTGTGCTGCAGAAACAGGACAGGACATTATCTGGATGCACTCACTCTTCCGTTGGTTTCCCCCTTCCACCATCCCTGGTCCCCGCCAATCCTGCTGTAGATCTTCACCACGTCGCCCTCCCGCAGCGAGAGCTCCCGCATGTCCCGCGCCGCGAAGTTGTATCGAGCCACTGCCGTCCCTATGACCCGTGGGGTGAACACTGCCAGGGGACAAAGCACAGGGGTCGGGAGCTGCCCCCACCACGTGGGACCGGCTGAAGCCTGGGGAAAAGCTTGGTGAGGTTCAACCTGGGTTTTCCACCACGGCTCCCATCGCAGCACCGTGGCCTGGAGGGACTGAACTCATCCAAACTGCTCAGCCCGCATGGACTGGGGTGGTTGGGGTTAAACGGGATTCCTGCTGAGCTTGGGAAACCTCTCTCTGCCAGGAGAGCCTTGCTGGGGATCTCTGGGGTGAAGGGCATTTTTGTGAGGAGGTAAAAGAAAGGAATACACAATCACTAACAACGAAATCATGAAAAAATCCTCTTCCACTCACACTCTCAGGTCTGGCTGCTGCACAGCTCACAGCACCTGATGGAGCCACGTTATCAAAAAACTTCATAAATCAACTTCAAAAACTGAGTTATTGGGAATGAATTCTCCTAGAGGTGTTGAGCAAATCCTGTATGCTTTGCCACGAGGAGGAAGAAGCTGCTAACCTGGATCCTCCTGGTTTCTGCCTGTTCCAGGGAGCACCCAGGGCCCTCGGAAACTTGGTCCCATCACAGATCAAACGGTGCCAAAGCACCCTGCAAACCCTAATGCTGACCAACAGCTTGTGATGAGGAGGATGCCCCCATGAACCATCCTGGGAGCACTGGCACAGCCCCAGCACCACGGATCTCCATCACTTCAGGCAGGGGATGCTCAAGGGAGGCACGAGGAGGAGCAGCAGTGAGGTGGGGAAGGCAGGGGTACTGCTCAGTGTTCCTGCCCCAAGGTCTGGGCAGGAGGAAGAAGGTTGGAGAGCAACAGAGGGAGGGATGGGATGGGCAGAGGGGGAAAAAAATGCACCTCCTCTGAAGTTTGTAAAAAAAAACCCCACCCTGAAGGGATGTTGTGTTTCAGTGAAGCTCCCTTCTTTGTCCCAGGATTTCCAGGGATTAATTTCAATTATAAAAGCGTGCAAACCAAGGTTGAACTAAGACTGAGGAAAAGCTTTGCCCAGGTTTTCAGCTCTCGGGATGGAAGGAGATGAGGATGGCGATGGAAATGGTCCAGACACACAGCGTGCAATCACTGGAAGACTCATCCAGCCTGGCCAGGCAGCCAGGCTGGAGAACAGAGCAAGAATCACAGCAGCTTTGAGCTCTTTCATCAGGACCTTGCTCAGAGCCCACTGCTGCACATATTACCTTCTGCAATACTTTCTGTGCAGTTAAAGGACCTCAAATTCTCAGATTTATGCTTGAAAAGTTAAGCATTCTTCTCAAACACGGCACCAAGGAAGGCATGTGTGGCTTTGCTTAAATGGCAAGAAGCAAACTGGTAGGATTTTGCTCTGATCCCCCCCTCAACAGGGAGGATGACACCAGCCTGTAACACATTAAATCAATGGGGTTCAAAGGCCAGGGCACCACTGCACTCTCTGCAGGGAGACTGAGCCCCAAAAAACAACTCTGACAGCACAGGTTCCACTCCTGCCTCCTCAGCAAGGGGCTCCTGAGCAGCCTCAGATACCAGAGCTCAAAACCTGCTGGACACTGAGATGTTGTCCTTGAGAACAAGGAGGAACAGACTGGGAGACAGTGTGATGTCAATGCTCGTTTGGTGAAACACAGGGGATAAGCAGGTCGAGCTTGAAGTACATCACGAGATCCCAAAGTGCTGGATTCACTTTTTAATTAATTTTAGCCCCTTTTCTCAAATAGCAACATCTTTTCCCTGCCTTGATTTTGGGGAGAGAGTGGGGGTGTGTTCTGCTCCCAGCCAAGCCGTGGTTAATTAACTTATTTCCAGGCTGTGCCCCAGGGCAGCACTGGGGACCCCCTGAACTGCCTGTGGGGATGGAGGGACAGCAGGGACCCCACAGGTCCCACTGGTGATGGCTTTCAAGCTGGGGATGGTGGCAGGTCTCTCCGGCAGGGAGAGGCACTGGTACCTGACCAGAAGGGACTGGAGGAGCTCTGAGAAGAAAAGTTGAGGCCCTGAGGACTGAGAAAAGAAAAGTTGTAGGAAGCGCAGGAGGCTGCAAAGAGGTTAGAGAGAAACAGAAAGAGGCAGAACACGCATTAAAAAGGAAATTAAAAAAAAAATATTATAATGCACAGTGCTTTAAAAGCTGATGGAGAAATACAGGTTAAAGCATGCAGAGGGTCTTGTGCAGGGGCTTGGAGCTGGGACAGCTGACAGAAGGTCTGGTCACAGCCCCACAGCCAGTGTAGGGGCTCAAAATTCATCCTATGGTTGTATTTTATACAAAAGGATATATTTAATCAACTTTTAAAACCTATCTTCCTTTGATATTCTTTTTTAAATATACGACAGAGAAAATTTTTTTAAATTCATTTTTTCCCCATGAAGTAGTTAGTTCTGTGCTCAGGTTTTTGGACAAAACACATCTTTTTGCCCTGTTGAATTTTTGCTTTCCATTTGTTTTGATTTTTTTTTTCCTTTCTTTTTGTTTTAGACACAGACTTACCATTTCACCCGTGATCTCCATTAAAGGAGTCCCACTGGGATTCAAACCACAAGTCACACTGGAGCTGGATCCATTAAAACACACGCACGAGAAACTCACGTAGGTGGGGCAAGACACGGTAAATCCCACTAAGTGACCATCACATCCCTGCTCCTGACCTGCAGGTGGACAGGATGCTCTGGCAGGACCAAGGGATGGGCAAACCACCCCTGAGCACAGGGTCCAAAACCACAGGAGGGGAACCAGCCTCCCCCAGCAAAAACTCTCCCTCAGATCCCCCTGATCCACCACCTGCTGTGAGACTTGTCCTCAAAATGCCACCAGCCAAGCAGACGATTTATCTGCAAACTGAGGAATTCAAGCGCTACAGCAAAGCTATAAATCCCTTCATCCAGTGCTCCTACACCTGGCTGGAAGGGTGAGGTTTTCCATGACAAGTTTAACTGCCCCCAAGCTGGGTTCTACCTGGGGAGCGGGTGAAGGTCCTGGAGGTAGAGCGCTCCCGAGATTTGTAGGGGTATTTCAGCGTCGTGTCCAGCTGCTTGAAGCTCTCCTTCAGCGAGTGGCTCTGGTAGTACTCAACCAGCTCCTGGGAAGGATGGAGAGGCACCTGGCTGTCTCTGCCATCCTCTGTGTGACTGGCAGGGACAGTGCACATGCTACAAGGGGAGACAAAAACCTACCAGCAAGCTTTCGAACTTCTTGGCTTCTGTGATGTGAATCCAGTTGTCCTTCTCCACCACCTTGATGTGCTTCACCTCCTCGTTGAACCTGCCAACGGCAGCAAAGGTACTCAAGAAAACACACCTGCGTGTTCCAGCCCCAGCTTGTCCTCCAGGAGCGAGAAATACTAAATTATTCAATTACTAAGTGAAGTTATCACTCACTTAATACTGATGGCAAAGCGCTCGGCCTCGGCCGGCCGCTCCCGGATCAAGTAGGTGCCGCTGACGTGGGACTTGAGCAGGTTGTCCGTCTGCTGCCGCTCCATGTTCCCTGCAAACCTGAGCCCAGAGGTTAACTGATTAATTTAATTAACTGAAATGAATGCGGATCTTCAAACAGGCATGTTTTGGATAAAAAGATACATCATCTTTTGAAGGCATGAAGGTTGGGAAGGCAGGTAGAGGAACAGGTCTCATCCAAGTCGGCGCGAGGAGGAAGGAAAGTGCCCTGAGATATAAAAGAAGCTGTTGAGCCACTGAACTGTGGGTGAGCACTGCTAAGTGTGACCTCTTCACTAATTGAGAAACAGTCCCCAGGTTAATGAGGCTTCAGCAAGTGGATAATTTATATCCACGAATTTGTAAACCTGGCTGGAGCTGGAGGGAAGGAGCAGCAGGCAAGCCAAGCACAGCCTCTCCTGCCAAGGCAGGAATTGCCTCCTTCTTCTCAAAATGATTCTCTGGGCACAGAAAATGGGAAGAGAAACCAGCATCTCTTTTAGCCTCTGACTGTCTCCATCAGTGAAGAAATCCTCATGGATACTGCCAGGGCTGCACCAGGTTTCAACACCCAAACACCAGTGTGGCAGCTGCCCTGTGGCCACAGGGAAAGCAGGATGCAAGTCACTGCTAGTCTGCATTCAGAATTCCTTACTGGAGTGGATTCCTGACAGAGTAACAACCAAAAAGCAATGCTGGTTTATGGTTATAGCCAGAGGAGGGTCGACTCACCACGGGTACGCCGTGTAGTCGATCTCCCGCGAGGGCGGCCGGCTGTTGGGAGGCTGCAAAGACAGAATTGCTCATTAGTGAAGAGCCAGCAGCTCATCAGGCCGTGGATCACGTGTGAGACGCTCCTCTCCACGGGAGGGTTCCTTCTGCCAAGCTGTTCCTGGATTATCGGCTTGGGCAGCGGAGGGCAGTGTTGTAGCTGAACATTTCCCTCTCAGCCTCCCAGCTGGGATGAGCAGGCTGTATTTGTTCATTTACCTGAGTGGTTTTTAATTGGGAAGCAGCTGACAACATTACAGAAAACAGCTAAAAACAATTAAAATAAATCAAATACAGTTTTCCTGCACTGTGCCTGATTTCAAGTCCTCTGCTCCCATGTCAGCCCTGCAGAGGAGGAACAGAGTCTGGACCTGGTCACACCAACCCCAACCTTGGGAACAGGGCTGAGACTGATGCAATTCAGACATCTGCAGCCATGGGATGAGGGAACCACCTCCTTGCTGATTCAGCCACAGTAGAGGCCTCATTGAAGGTCCAGGGGCTCACTGGGAGGACCAAGGTCTCAAGCAGAATGCTGAGAAGAGCAACAGGGACCACTGGAGCACTCCCACCCACCCTGGGCTCCATCTCCTCTTTGGCACTTACCCTGGCATCCACAGGGCAGGGCTTTACTGACGAGCTGGGAAAATAACCCGACTTCTTCGTCTGCAGCAGCCGCCCCTGCAGAGACAAGCTGGAATCAGACTGGGGAGGGCACGGGGAGCACCGGTGTCACTGTGCAGGGAGGGGGACAGGCTCCAGACTGCCTCCAAACCCCCAGTACAGCCCTGCCCACAAATAAAAGGGACAACGCAGAAGTCACTGGTTTAAAACCTTCCAGGAGTTTCCCGAGGGGAATCGCTCTCACCTCCCACCATGGAGAGTCTGGGTCCCCCCTCAGCAGCTCGATCACATCCCCAATTTGAAAGGTCAGCACCGGCTTCCCAGGAGGGGCTGGGTTTCCATGGTAATTCTGAACTGCCACCATTTTAGGACCTGGGAGAAAAGGAAAACAGTTTCATCACCTTGTCCCTGCTCAAAAAAAACAAAAACAAAACTCCCCCTCCTGAAGCCTCGTTCCTTATCCTATGAACCACAAACCCAAAGGCACTAGCAGGCAGGATTTGGGGGGCAGAAAGCATGAAAGCAGAAAAGAACAGTGTCCACAGTGAATGTTCTTGGCTCCTGCAGTTACACGGATGACTGAGTTCCCTGAGCAAAAATAAACCCATGAAGGACCAAGCCCGGCCAAAGCTCCAGCTCCCAGCCCTGCACCTGGATTTGAGCCTTATTGAGGCAAAGCCTGGCTGGCACCAAAACCTACCAGGCTCAGTGGTGACACCAGGATTGCAGAAGGGACCAGGAGTGCAACACCCACGATTGCAAAAGGGCCCAGAGAACACTCAGCTTCCACCGAGTGTCTGCTGAACCTGGGACTCAAACGCCCCTGAAGCTCCCAGTCAAAGTCCAGTTGTCTTGCCAACAACTGCACATTAAATAAGCTCCCCCAACTGCACTCAAACCACAGTGTTTATTTTCAAAGCACTTCCCCACCTCTGCCTCTCCCCACCCAGTGAGAGCACTCTCTGCTTGCTTTTTTGTTTTAACCACCAATTTGATTCAGGTTTCTTTTCGCCAGGCTTGGCTTTCCTTCCATCAGAGAAAGCACAAAAACAAATTGTTCTTCTCCTTTGAGCCAGAGCATGGGCAGGGCAGGCCTGGAGCTCTGTCCAGACCAGTTTTAAACAAAGAAGATAAATAATATTGCAGTAATCATCATGACTGATGGCCCATCAGAGAGGGCAGTGCCTGGAGCTGCACATCCCTGGAGCACACTGGACATGCCGGCAGAAGATGCTCCCCATCAACAACAAGTCTTCCTGCCAGGATATGTTTTGTCTGCCCTCCTGTAAAACAGTACTGTACTTACCAGGTCCAGCACCCAGTGAATCCTGCAAAGAAAGAGCAAAAAGTCTCTGTGAGGACACATTAGTCTCAGTTCTCTCTATGAGCACCCACCTGAAGACAACATGATGAGAAACTCTCTCCCAAAACTTCCCTGGTAACCCCCAGCCCATGGTGCTTGTCCCAGCTGGGTGCTGGCACCTCCCAAGGGCTGCAGTGCTGCACAAACTGGGCCAGTTTTAGGCTGGAAAAGAGGCCACTGGTCCCCAGTCCTACCCCTCTGAGGCCTTTGGTTGCTTTTCCCACGAGCTGCCCATGCCCAGACTGGGTAAGGACACAGGCTCTGCCTAAGGCAGAGGGGGATGAGGAAAAGGGACATCAAACAACCTACCTGGTCTGCTGAAGAACCTGTAAGAGAAAAGGGTGGAATAGGTGGTTAATTTAACAGGCAACAAACCCCATTTTCTGTTTCTCTTGACACTGTGAGTTCCAGTAAACCAGCCATCTCTGTGTGAACTGACAGAGGAAGCCCAAAGCAGAGCTGGGGTCACTCAGGCCATCGCTCTGCTCTTGACGGGCAAGATGCAGGGATGGATTGGAGCTGGACAAGGACATTTCCTCACCTGCACAATACTCTGTGATTTTGTTTCTTCCTCTCTCCACTCCCCACTCAAAACCTACCTGGAGCCACCCTGTGACAGCCCCCAAGCAGGACCAAGGCTCTGACCCAGGCAGAGCTGAGTCACAGCTTTGCCCAGTTTAGACCAAGGACACAAATTTTTGCCATACTATGGGATATGTGGGATCCAGAGACAAGGTTTCTCCTCATCAGAAATGTTATCCCTGCTGCAGACCCTCCTATTTCATTATCCAATATCTTCTGATGAAGAACTCATCATCTCTCTTAAATGCCCACCCAGCACACAATGCTGCTGTGATCCTCTTGACATCCATGGGATGCAGCTCTTTGCTTTGGGTGGTTCTGGCTGGTTTGTTTGTTTTTTAAACCACCAGCCAATGTAAATTACGGCCCTGGGAGGTGGGTGGGAGCACACTTATATTTTTTTATGCATTAACAAGCATTAGTGCTTAATAGAGAAAATCTGTCAGAAAATTCATGTGCAGCATAAACTGCTCATGATGTGAAATAACTCACCCATCTTGCAGGGAGGAATGATCTCCAAGCACTCCTTATGAGCACCTGCTCCACATTTGGGGCAAAGATAGCCCTGGTAGAAGGTTCCTCTGTGCAAAAAAAAAAAAAAAAAATACAAGTCAGAAAGTCCTAATCCATCCTCAGCTCTGAGGTTTTCTTTCCATGTTTCAATGCAGAACATTTGGAAGGTTGTTGCTCACCTCAGGAACATCCTGCAGGCTTTGCAGTTGGTCGTCTTTTCAAATGTGTACATCTGAAAGTTATGGTGATTTGCATTGGCTTTCTCTGGCTTTATGTTGGACCTGAGGGAAAGGATTGAGGGGTTATCAACCTGTCCCCATGAGTGGCTGTTTGCATTTCAGTCAAAGCCTGGACACCACACAGACAGATACGAAATCAAATGTGAAAGGAGACTCAGGGCTCGACTGTGAGAGGGAGGATTTTGCCCATCAACCTTCCCCTGGGACAACAGTCACGGATTTGGCCCTTGCCCGAGTCAATCATCAGCCCAGATCTGTCGGCGTGGGGCCGATCCCTGCTCTGCTCAGGATCAGGTCCTGCAGCACCACCCTCCTCCACTGCCAGCCTGGTACTTCCCCCATGGCCCTGCACCAGGGCAGGGTGTCATTTCAGAGAATCACAGAATGGTTTGGGCTGGAAGGGACCTTAAAGCTCATCTCATTCCAACCCCCCTGACATGGGCAGGGACACCTTCCACTATATCCCAGGTTGCTCCAAGCCCCATCCAACCTGGCCTTGAACACTTCCAGGGATGGGGCAGACACAGCTTCTCTGGGTAACCTGTGCCAGGGCCTCACCACCTCACAGAGAATAATTTCTTGCTAATATCCAATCTCAATTTCAGAGATAAAATCCAATTTCAGAGATGCACCACCCATGCTTTGGTGTGGATGCTCAGAGTAGATGGTTTCAGGTTCCCTTTGCACAGGGACCAATCCAGCAAGTCCACATGAGCTTCCCCATCACAGGTTTTGCTATCAGAGCTGGTCTCCAGTGACCTGATGGTCCAAGACACTTTTCTCCTACTCTTGGGAACTGCACCCAGGGCTAGAGCAGCCACTCATGCTCACATTGCCATTTCAAACTGCTCCATCCACTTCCTCTTCATTTCTTCTGTCTTGCAGAAGAACTGGAAGCCCTGCTTCCCCTGAAGGTGGATTAGGTAGAAGCCGTATGACCACTGCAAGAGAAAACAAGAGCGTTGATCTCGCTGTGCTCCCAACACCTGAGCAGCAAAATGCATCACACTTCCATGCAGGCACCTCAGTAACTGCTGAGTGCCTGCCCCTGCCCCTTCTGCTGAACCTTGCACAGGCAACAGCAGGGAAGGAGGAAGAACAGCTCCCTGTTTCTCTAACACATCACAGCTAATGATGCCTGAACTGGCTTGGCGCTGTGCACTTGGACCAAATAGGATTTCACGGTGGCAGATGAGAGAACCCAGATTTTTCTGCTCCACTGGAGCCTCCCCAGCCATTATATCTCTCTCTGACAGCTACTGACAGCCCAGGAGGAACATCTGACCTGCCCACCACACATATGCTCAGCCTGTCTCATTACAACACTGCACAGAAACACAGGAGAGAGAAGTGGGTGCTTTGCTTACCATTTTTCCGTGAGACTAGAAAGCATAGGAGAGCAAAGTGGAAACACATTTCATTAACACACAAAGCTAGCAGCATTTCTTCAGCAGCCAAGTGGCAAAACTGGCTATTCTTACCCCAATTTCCCTTTATCCCATCTATACAATACCTCTTCCCACGGCATGTAAGTGGATTAAGCTAATGGGGCTCTGCTAAAGCGATAGCTGGGAGGTTTTCCTTAGCCCTGCAGACTGAGCCTCAAACCACCAGCAAAATGATGTTCCTTCAGTGCTTCGAGTGCCAGTTTTGGCAGGCTGGTGGGCAATGCTCAGGCTGCCTTTCCAGGCTCCTCCACCCCACAGCTCATGGGAGCGAGAGCATCCGGGTGGACCTTCCCTCCCTCCCTGCCCTCCTCTGCCTCCCTGTCTGACGTTTGCTCCCTGATGGTGGGCCAGAAAGCAGGGAGCAGCTTCCTCCCTCCTAACTCCAACCATCCCAGCCTCCTCAGGGCTGTTTTGCAAGAACAGAGAGGTCAAGGATCCAGCCCAGCCCCACATTAATAAACATTTCCCAAAGCTCTGTAAGGCTGCCTTGAAAGATGAGCATTTATTTTCCAGCTTTTTTTGCAGGCACTGTTTCTACTTTAAAAGGCTAATGGGAACATACTACCCTGAAACAGCTCCAAAATGCTCTCCAGCAGAGCCAATCCTTGGTCCACCTACCTTCTTAATGTCCTTGTTATTCATGGGGTCATCAGTCATCTTGTGGAAGAGCAGCTCAATAATTTCTTTCAGCTCATAATTGTAGCCTTTCCTTTTGCAGACGATCACCACTTTATCAAATAAAAATAAATACCTGCCCAAAGCAAGCAAATAAACAAGGAACCCAGTTAAACACCTCATCAAAGTCCCCATCCAAGGGGAAGGATTTGGAAAGCTCTGCAGAGCTTTCCAGCCAGCGCCGCTCAACGCTTGGACCCTGCTGTACTTTCACATTGATGGTGGGTTCTGTCAGTGAAAGTCCAGGCAATAATTAAAATAAATGAGCTCAAGGGGAGTCACCAAACAAAGGCACATTTAGTTTGGGAATATTTCTGAGTGCTGTTGCTCACTCACCTGTCCTGCTTGGTGTGGTTGACTATGGAGCGCACCTTCAGCTCCCCGTCGATCTTCGGCCTCCCAAACTCCTCCAGCTTCACTTGCTGCAGAAAGCAAAGCAGGGCTGAGATCCACAGCCAGGGCTGGAATGATGCTTTGGGGAGGTGGAAACCCAAAGCTGCCTGGATTGCACCCCCCAGCCCTGCTTCGAGCTGCTGAAGCTCCTGGGAGCAGCATCGCCCTCACCAAGGGGAGGGAAGATGCTCCCAAGGGGAGCTCAAGGATGCTCTAAAGGGAGCCTGTGCACGAGCAGGACCACTGGGGACCCCTGGACCTCCAGCACTGGCATCCCAGGGCAAGGCTCAGCAGACAAAGCATTTTTACAAAGTTTGGGATCTGGAAAGCAAACCCCTCGCCAAAATAAGCTATTTTCCAGAGGTTTCTACAATAATTAAGGATGTCCCTGTCTGTTAAATAACCACCAATTAAAAGTTCACTGTTTCCAAATGAAGTCAGGGCTTAAAGCCCCCAAACCCAGCACCCCTCCAGGAAGCCCTTGGGGTGGGCAGCCCCCAGCACCTCCCTCCATCACCCTTTTGAAGTATCTCAGGTGTCAGTCCCCAAATTGCATTACCCAGTGTAAAGTGTGATGGAGGAGCAGCTGCACCCACAGCTGACCAGCCCCCCCTCCATCCCCTCAAATCGAAGAAAAGCTCATTAGCTTGAAGGTCTGCCACTGAATATCAAATTACGGGGTTTGTTCAGGGCTAAAGTGAGTGCTGGGCTGCACAGGGGCAGCTGATGCCCAGTAATGGGACTGTTTGATACCTCTGGAGTTTGGAGGATGAGATTCTCCTTAAAATATCTGGTTGGGATTTTGAGGATTAAGTGTATCATTATGTCAGCTCTTCTCCTCCACTTTCAGTTAACTTCTGCCCTCTTAACAGCAAAAGAAAACCCACTTTAAGTAGCAGATAGCAGATTTGAGGAATTCTTGGGTTGCCCCTACACTAATAACATGAGAAAAAGTCAGAGACACATTTTCAGTGCAACACCACCACAAGAAGTCACTCTCCATCACAGACAAAGCACCTTTGTGATGTAGCAACCACTTATGGACCATCAGCAAAACCACTGCCAGTGACAAGGGAGTGCCCAAACACATTGGGTAGTACACCAGAATAAAGAATAAATGCACACAAAAAAGCAAAAATGTTAATAATAATAAAATTAATTTGGGTTCAAGAGGATTTTTCAACTTACCAGGTTTTCTATAGAGCTCTGAAATTCACTTATTTTCTTTAAAGTCTCCTTGTCCCTCTTTACTTCATTGATGTACATGGCCAAGTCCTTCAAAGAAAAGTGAGGATATATTTTTATTTTTCAGATGACAACAGTACCCTACCTGAGCAGGACCCACACGAGCATGGCTCCCTGAATCCCTGAGGAGTCTGAGCAGGACCCCACAGCAGCCTGGGACACCTGAGCACAGGCTCTTGGTGCTCCCACTGCTGAGCCAGGCGGGTGCTGCAATTTTTTCCGTTTCCCAGAAGATGGCAATGCATGAATCCATAGCAATGTATAAACCCAGTGCAGCACAGCAAACCCAGCCTGTGGCTGTTACCTGCTAAGAGCCTGAGCCAGGCACCCCCTGCCTTGCCCCTCTGCCTGGCAGCATCCTTCCTTCCCACCTTTCATCACTAATTCCCTACATCCCCCCGGATACAAAAGCTGCAAGCCAGTCTCTGCTGTCAAAACATCCATGTCTGTAAAGTAACTGCTTTGGACACCTGGCTGCACGTTAGCTGTGAACAGACTTGACTTGGCTCTGCCTCTCTTGCTTCCAGCTCTTTTCCCTGGGTGCTCCAGATCACACCCAAGTTGGTGAGAGCACTGGGATCCTCATGCTCGGTCCTTCCCGGGACATCCCACAAGAGCATCCCCACCTCCAACATTTTGGGCTCCAACATCTCCCACCACACAAAGGCTGTGTTGTAAAATAAGATGGTTGATGGAGCTTGTTCTGCCCTCAAAAATTCCTCGCTTATCCAAGTTTTGATCCACTAAAGAGAAGGAACCCAATCTTTCTACTAAAAGAACTCCTTACACCTTTCAGAGCCTGTTTGCTTCTTATCTGCTCCCTCCTTGTTCTCAACAACAGCTCCTGTCAACTTGCATTAGATCCGAACATGGGATTTTTTAAGACATCCCCTCTGGGTCAGACCTTCCTCAGCTTCCCAAGAGAAGATGGGTTAATCACAGACAATAATCACATATCTACGTGACAATACTTATAACATCACAGAACACCCCAATGGGCAGTGGCAGGGATGGTGATGGGAAATGACACAACCAAAAGCCTTATGAAGCAGTATCCTCCACCATGCTTGAGCACTGACCTCAGCTCCCTCCTGCTGAACAGGGGAAACACAATCCCAGGATCAACCACGACTTGAAACAACAATACACAAATGTGGGCTGCAGGATTTCACTGGGAATTGCGTTGTCCCACCATCACCTAGGGATTTGGTTCTGCATTCTCAGACAGAGGATTGGTAACTGTACCAAATACCACCACCACAAACAACTTTTTTTTGTGTAAATCCTGCCCCTGCCTTGCACAAACAACTATTCATGCAAAATAAAAGGGAAGTGAATCACTTTGGGAAACATTGCTCTATTCACCCCCTGCACAGCTCTCACCCCAGACAGCAGCAGTGTCTGCTGCCTGCCAGCACAGCAGACAGTAAGGCTGGACTTGTGATGAAAAACATCACTTGGAGGTTAAGCCTTGGTTTGCAGATCAATTAAAACCAAACTGAATGGCTTCCGATGCCCCCGCCGAGCCCAGCGCGGTCGGAACTGCACCCGCGCTCTCCCGGCGATGGGGAGAAGAAGAGAGAAACCTCCCTGATGGCTATCGGCAGCTTCCTGCAAGGAATGCTGAGTCTGCAGCACAGCCAGAGCATATATACATTTATTTATTAGCAGTGGTGCTGGCAGTGCTGGATGATGAGGCCATAAGCAGGGTTTAACTGCTGTCACCAGGTTTAGCGTTCATTTGAGGCCACAGAGCAGGAGAGGGCTGTGAATGCAACGTCCTTCAAACAACCTTAACTCTAATGTGACCCACATATCAGCTCTGGACTCCCGGGCTTGGAGGGATAATGGCTGGAAAGGTCACCCAACTTATGTAAGTGCCAGGAAATGCAGGGATGTTACAAAAGCTGCGGCTCAGAGATAGAAAACAGAGTGACCATGAACACAGGAGTAAACCCTGGGATGAATCCTGAGATGCTCTCCAGAGAGAAAATCTGGAGTTAATGAGCATCTTCAATTCAGGTTCTGCTGCTGATGCTCCCTTGGTGTGAGTCTGTGTGTGTGTGGGTACATATCCCAGTCAGAAAACATTTGGATGATCCTGTGACCCTATGATTTCTTTGTTGTTGTCGCTGATGGTTTTCCCGAGATTTTGGGGGTTTCAGCTGAAAGCTCTAAAAAAACTTTAAACAAAGCAAAATGTTGACACCAGAAGCCTTCAACTGTTGAAAGAGCATTTTCCCCTTAACAGAAAAAATTTCCTTGGATAAAAGGATTCCCACCCAGCACCTGGATAACAGCACACAGGGAACGCTCCGCACACACAGGCTCCCATTTCTGCAATACTCCCCGACTTGCTGATACGTCTGGAGTTCCTCCAGATCCCTCCCAGCAAAAACAAGAGCCGGATCTGGCACGGCCTCTTTACACACAATAGCAATCAGTGAGAAGTCCGTAACTTGTCAACAAACACCAGCTTCCCTCAGCTGCCTCGGGAGGGAGACGGCAGCGAGGACTCCAGATCTGCTGCGAAGCCATCTCATCAAACAGCGATCGATACACACGTGTGTGTCCAAAAGGAGGAGGTGCTGCCTTCCCTCAGGCTGCAGGATGGTTTGGTTTTTGCTGTCTTAGTTTTTGTTTTACAGAGTAGAGGGCTCCAAGGCTCTGCTGCACCCCAAGCCCAGCACTGCCCCACCGCCGCTCTCATCCTCCTGTACCTGCATCGCCTCCAGAGCCTCCTTCAGCTGTTGCTTCTCTGGTCGGTCTGAGGAATGGCTGAGCAGCTCCTGAAAAAGTATAAATAAATAAAAATGAAGAGTTTGGAGGTGCTAGGAAAACTGTGCAGACCCTGCCTGCACCGGACAGGCTCTGACCACAGGCACCTGCCTGAGCAGCGGCAGGGTCGCCGGGGTGGCTGCAGGGATGTCTAGGTGATGGTAGGGATGGCAGGGATGCCTGGGTGATGGCAGGGATGGCAGGGATGGCAGGGATGCCTGGGAGGTGGCAGGGATGCCTGGGCAGGCGGCTGTGGCCGTAGGACAGGGAACATGCCAAGTGGCTGGTGCTTGAGAGATCTGTTACACAGAGTTGACGGGCGGAATTTCACACATAATCAGATTATATGCAAGCTTATTTTATATTCATTAACTGCCTCTCGTGGCTAACAAGTGCAGAATTACCCTAGGTCACCGTACTTTAAGAGATGGCACAAATATTATTATGTCGTGTTAAGGAGCTTCAGTAATTATATCATTTGAAGGGGAAAAAACTCCAAACCTCCCTCTGCATTTGGCAACAATTCACTCTCCACTCAAAGAGCTGAAAGATGTTACAGAGAGGGGAGAAGCTGGAGAGAAATGCCAGTGCTGAAAAACTTACTTTCAACAGGAGATGGTATTTCAAAACTCTCTGCATTGGAACCACCAGCAGATCTTGCAATTTAAATTTCCCATCCTGGACCTTTAGTGTGCATTCCTAGTAAAGAGATCAATAAATCAGCTGGGGAAAACAATGGCTCCCCCTAGACAAAGCCTCCCCTGTCCCGTGATTGTTCGTTTGGTTTCTGTAAACTCAGTCCCGATGCCCACAGGCTCGTGGTCCCTGCAGGCACCTAGCCAGGGCCAGGGCTCCCACCATGGAGGTTATCAAGGAATTAAACCCAGAGGCTGGACCCTAAAATACAGGCATTCTCATGCAACTGAGCTACTCCAGCTTAATGAGATGCTGCTCATTAGGGGAGCACACGAACGCTCCTGGACCTGGGGAAATGTCAAATGAAACACATTAACTTCACCCACCTCCTGGCTGGGCTGAACTAATGTGTTTTATTTGTGAGGGGCTGGCAGGGAGCACGCAGCCAGTGGCTCTGGCGTCGCTGGTGAGCATTAAGTCATTAAGATGAGCTAATGTGGTTGCAGGAAGTTTTGCCACCGTTACCTTCACCCAGACCCATTCAAATAACGTGATTCGGCTGCCTGAGACCCTCTGTGTTCCCAGGGAGGGAGAGAAAGGAAATGCACAGGAGCAGCTGGATGCTACAGCCACTGGCTTTATTAAAGGCCCAAAGAACACGTTTTAAACAATTCTTAAATGCAGTTTTACCCCTGAATTGGGTTTACATGGAAAATCAAAGAGCGTTTGCGGAACGGGAGGTAACGTGTACAGACAGCCCGGCAAATTCCGATTAGCATCAAGACCAAAGCAGGAATTAAAGCTGGGTAAAAACCAGCAGCTCAAACAATGCCTCCCTTCTGGGGCTCCTTTGATTCACTTAATATCTGGATCAGCCCCTATTTACACTAAGCCTTTATGCTGTGGAAGGAGGACAGGGCGGTAATCCGGGTGTTCGCCTGGGGACTTGGGTTCACCTCTGATGGTCCCTGATGCTGTTAGTGACCTTGGGAAACCATGTGGCTCCTGGCTTGGGGATGCTCGGGGCATTTGGGTCTCCCTGCACGTTTCAAAGAACTTGTCCCAGCCTGTCCCACTCAAATGAAGTCACTAGTTTGTTTTAACTTGGATAAACTCAGGCAGGAAGGACAGAGTGTGAGCCTGGCGAGGAGATGAAGGGGCAAACAGGGCATCAGGACGAGACACCCCCCAGCTTTGCTCCTTCTCCGAGCAGCACAGACACACCCTCACATCCCTCTGTTCTTTGCTAACTCAAACGTTCCCAACACAGCATTCTTGGCTCCAGCAAGTCCTTCCAAAACCCCTGACAAGGGGGAGGGGGGCAACACTCTGCCCCCAGTGCCCCCTGCCCGCTCACCTCCACCTTCTGCCGGACGTCCTCCCGGTTGGCGAGGAGGTGGTTGAGGGTGTTCTGGGCATACTCCATGTGGCTGCAGTACTTGCCATAAATCAGCAGCCTGGAGAGGGGGAAAATCACAGATTTAATCAGAAACACTTGCTGGCAGTTATAACCTGTTATAAAAGATACATATGCATGTGGACACAGTGAAAGGACAAGGCAAACAGCTAATCCTCCAGGTAACTCATAGCAAAGTACTGACACTCCTTTACTGCGTGGCTTTTTAACACTTAAATCTTCGACACTTAAATATTCAGAAGTCTCCAGAGTAGGAGCCTGTGGGATAATTCAGCTCATGATGAGCAGAAGGGGCCGAGTGGCCAGAGGAGGCTGTTTTTGGATCTACGATGGCTCACCCCTCCACTCCTGTCAGCCTGGGCTGGTGGAAGGTGTCCCTGCCCATAGCATGGGGTTGGAACTGAATGGGCTTCAAGGTCCCTCCCAACCCAAACCATTCTGTGATTCTATGATGATTCTATGACACATTTCAGAGAGCTCATTGCTTCTTGCAGGATGCGCCACAGGGACCTAGAGATCAAGAGAATGGGTCACCGAGAAAAGAAGGTTGTCACAGCCTTTGGAAACACAGTGAAGCTCTGTATGGACACCCCGGGCTATAAATTTAAACACCTGACAAAACAGAGCAGTTTTGCCATGGATTCCCCCTTTTTCCTCACTTCTCTCATTAATCCTGCGTGACAGGTTTGGGTTTTCTCCCCCTTCCTGGCTGTTAACTGTTCTGCTGCTGATAAGACACATATTCCATCACGCACTGCAACTCATCCATTATTTCAGGGCCTCATCTCTCGATGGAGACAACCTGGGAGCACCTGACCCAGCGTCACTCCCTAAATAGGGGAGTCTCAGACCCCAGCAGGGAACTGAATAGAGAGATTTATGGAGCCAAAGTCCCCGGCAAAGCCACAGCCAATACAGATTATTCTCCTGCCTTTTCCCCTTGACAACTTCTGAACATGCACAATAATATCTACCTTGCCAGCGCGGGGGGAGTTTCAAAGAGGCTTCAGGAGCATAAATTCAAACCTCTGGCTTTCAGAGAAGGAGATTTACAAACTATTTCCTTAAAAAAAAAAACCACCCGCAAAGCAGAGGAGCAATGCATCATTTTTCCGGAATGTCTCCCAGGATGTGTAGGGAAGCAAGAGCTATTTGTCATGGATATATTTGATGGAGGAAGGTCTTACATATAAGGACCAAGCAGGAACTCTGGAGGTCCACGTTCCCTTCTTGGTGGGGCAACACTGTCTCCCCAGTGAACTCACTTTCTCCTCCTGCACCCATTTCCTTGCTGTAAAATGAGGAACTGTTGCCTTTCCTAATTGTAGGAATGGACTCTGCATATTTAGATCAGGTTGCTCCACACACTTCATCCCCAACACTCTTGTTCTGGGGTCTTCTCCAAGTCAAAAGTCCCCTTGAACAGTGAGGTCCCCAAAATTCCCACGGACTGAACACAGCTCCAGATCCGCTGCCACCACCTCGCAGCTGTCAGTCTGGCTCCTTCACTCACATCTTTCCAAGCCTTTTAGGTCCTTCAAGAAGTTGCTTCCAAACTCCCTTGTCCACTCCCTGCTCCCTGCCTGCACAGCTCTGTCCCCGGGATGGCACCAGCACACACAGAGCCGAGCCAGGAATTAGGAGATCAAAATCACCTTAGTGAGTTTTATGAGTGTTTTAAAATCATTTGCATTCTTCTCTGGAAACTTTTTTTTTTATTTAATCCAGAAAAAATGCCCTTTGTACAAAGAGGCCCTGAGAATGATGGAAAACCTGACCTTATGGTGTGTTATTACTGCAGATGGTATTCCTGGAGTTATTGACTCCTGAATGGCATTTCTGTGTCTAGACACTGGTTTAATCACAGTGAAATAACGCCCTGGCACGACTCCACAATGAATCACCCTTTGATTAGTACTAAGGATATTAAAAGCTTTTATTAACCTTATCTTTGTGTTCTGGGGTGCTCCTGCTTGCAGCTGCCAAAACAGAGAATCTATTCTGTTCGAAAAAAGCAACTTTTACATTTATTCATCGTGCCAGAGGTGCGGGACAAGTGCGGTGCCAAAGAGGTGACTTTTTGGAGCGAGGAATCACTTTGATCTAACGAGAGCCAAGTCTCCCCTTCACAGGAGTCATCCCACCACATCACAGGCCCTCAGAGCCCCACTGCTGCTTGCAGGAGACCACACTAAAACCTTGCAGCTGAGTGAGGTTTTACTCCATTCCCGTTCACCACAACTGTAGCATTCCAATCTTTATCCCCTCCGATATGTCCCCATAAACACATTGTACATTCAGTCTGTTATGAGATGCTGAGCCCAGAGAAATCCAGGTGCAGCCAGGGGCTTGTAGGAACAAGGATCCACAGGAGCTACATGACTGAGCCTGGCTGGTCACAAGGGAGATGTTCCAGCCTCTGCCCTGGGCAGCCTGACACGGTTGTGGCTGGATTTGGCTGCTTAAGTGTCAGCACCAAATGATGTTTCAGCTGCCTGACAGCATTTAGATGCAGAGGATGCAAACCTGGTCTGCTGTGACAGGGATTTCTAGAATGAGGGAATCATTAAGGTTGGAAAAGCCCTCTCAGACCATCGAGTCCAACCATTAACCCAGCACTACCAAGTCCATCACTGAATCACGTCCCTGAGCACCACAGCTACACCTTTTCCGAATGCTTGCAGAGATGGTGACTCCACCACTTCCCTGGGCAGCCTGCTCCAGTGCTTGACAACCCTTTCAGTGAAGAAATTGTCCCTAATATCCAATCCAAATCTCCCCTGGTGAAACTTGAGGCTGCTTGCTCTTGTCCTATTGCTTGTTACTTGGGAGAAAAGACAGATCCCCACTTGGCTACAACTTCCTTTCAGGCAGTGTTAGAGAGTGAGAAGGTAGAGAGCAACAGAGGGCTCTGTTCAAATCTTGGGGATGAGCCCTGCAAATGTTAACCCAAATCTGTTAAAACTGGACCTGCCTGAAGCCCAGGTTTCCTGTACCTCTCTTTGAATTCCAGAAACACTTTTGCCAGGCTGCTTCCTCCAGACATCATAGAGACATCGATGGCTCTCAGGAAACTGAAGTGCACTTTAATTAGGTCCTAAAACAAAGAAACAGTCAATACTTTAAACACATTCAAAGCAAGTGGGCAAACAGAGCCTAAAGAAATGCACATTCACTACTTCATCAGGTAGTTTTTTTCCCTCTTTTAGCTGTTTTTAAAGAAAGTTGTTCTAGTGGAATGCAGCCCTGAATGGCCTGGAATATGGGAGTGTAATTCCATCAGAGGTTACACAGTGATAAATGCCCCAGAATGGGGAAGGAGGAGGAGATGGGATGGATGGTGCAGATGATACACCAGGTTCTGACCCAGACTCTGTGCAAGCCAGCGTAGAAATAAATTCCTTCATCACAATGTGCCCAAACCACCTAAATCAGCTAAAATCCACAGCCCCAGCCCCAGAACATCCACTGGATAGAACTGTTTTTTTTTACCTAGAGTTCATATAATCCCCAACTCTAAAACTGAGTGTTAAAGAATATCTCCTAAATTCATTCAAGCTCCACAGCACACGAAGGGCTGAACCTCCACAGGTGAATGCACAAATCTAACAGGAAATGGGAAAACCTTCTCTTAAACAGGGAGAGGGCTGAGCTGCCTTGAAGAGAACAAAGATTTAAGCCACAAAGTCCACGCCCTTACCTCCAAATTGATAAAAATAGCTTCCATGTCTTGGGGAGTCAGTACCAGCCTCAGGGGGTTCATATAGTTCTGCAAGAGGGAGATGGAAAAGGGATTGAAATACTGGAGAGGAGGGAACAAGAAGGGAGTTGTGTAAGAGAGGTGGTTTTTTTCTGCTTCACCAGTTGAATTTACCTGGGCAGGGAAAAGAAAGGTTTTAATGAGTTTAAGCACTTGCAAAGGCAGAGAACAACCAGGTTGTGCCAAGGATCCAAGTGGGAGGCAGGAATCCCCATGGGTGCATCATCCCCTCAGCTCCCCTTGGCTCCCTCAGCACTTCCAGGCTTGGGAAGGTGCAAAATCCCAACCCATAGGTGGGTGCAGGACCCCTCCCCTGCTAAACCCATGGGAGGAGGGTTTAATAAATGCACTCAGCTGCTTCACCTCACTGCAGTCCTTGGCTGCACTGAAGCATCTTTCCAGCTCTTTATCTCACTAGAATTTTGCCCTTGAAAACACACCAATGATGTGATTACATTGGAAATGCGTTTCTGAACAAATACATATTAATAGAAATATCTACATGACTTGTAACCACAAAAAAAACCCCTGATGTAACACACCAAAGACAGAACCCTCTGCTCATAACAGCGTCAGAACCTGCTAAGCCTTCACAAGCCTTTTAAATTGATATCAAAGCAATCATTTAACTCTTCCTTTAGACTGAACCAGAGGGCTGGTTCAAGGAACAAATGTCCCAACATAAATGACATTATGTTGGGACATTTTCCTGGAAAATAGGAAACGTTATTCCATCGTGCCGATTTTGTTCATGGCTTCTTTGTGGGAACTTTCAGAGGGAAATAATTGCAGAAGGGGAGGAAACAAAAGCATTAGGGTGATTAGAAATGGCAGCTTGATTTTCACTATTGTTCTCCACTCCTGCTGCTTTCCTCGGAGCAGGAACCACCTCCAGGCTCCCGCCACATCCACGACTCCACCGTCTTGCTGAGGTGTTCACTTTTATTTTTATTTAAAAGAAAGGCACGACAATCATTTATCAAAACCCATTAAAACCCGTGAATTTAAGCAGCAAAACGTTACTCTTAATCCAATTAGTTTCAATGACAAGTCATCACAGCTTCAGCACTTTTGAAAAGCACCCAGAATAAAGAAATTATTCCGTAGCAATCGGAGCGATAAGATATCTGCAAACACTGCTCTTATCGGCGAGCCTGGCCTGGCTGAGTGAACTAGAGTCTCTTACCCCGGGGTAGGGGGTTCTCAGCTTATTTCCAATCTGCAGCAATCAGAAAAAATATGCTGTTTGGCTCCTACAGTTACAGGCTGCACATTTGTGCTTGTCAGCCTGGCTTTTCTGGATCTCCCTTCTCTCCAATTTTACGTGCGAGTGCATCGATCCTGCCCGCTCACATCTGCCAGCCCTCAGAGCAAGAACTAACACGATTAACGCGAGATCAAGGGGCGAGGGGGAAGGCCACGGTATGGAAAAGGTGGCTCAGTTCTTACCTTTTCTATATCTTCAAGTGTTTTGTAGTATTTGGCCTCAGTTTCTTGGATTTCTAGCAAGCAGCAATTTCTTTTGTCATCTTCTGTCATTCCCATTTTCTAGAAAAAGCAAAAATAACACGTGGTCAGATACTCTTAGGGGTGGCCCAGCAACCTGCTGATCCAGTTCAGCCTTCAGTGACAGCAAACAAGCACAAGTTTGGAAAATCAGGAGAGCACCACTACTAGTTTATGTTAAAGGGAACTATTCTTATCCAAAAAATATAAGAAGGAACCCTGGCTGTATTATTAAGTATGTTTCAACATGGCAAGTATTCCATTTTTTGCATTTATTATAACCACATCACCAAAGACTATCAGCTAAAGAAGAATAATAAGAGATAAAGGCTGAGTTTCTCTATTTTGTTTTGCCTAAGATGAAACTCACAACAGAGCCTAAGCGGGTCATAAATAATATTTTAGATTTATACAAATCCCCGGCCAGGATTGCCAATTCTTATGATTTTAGGTCAAATCTGATAAAATGTGCTTTTCTCAAAGCCCCGACTCCTGGAGTCACTTCTCTTGCTCTGACATCTGTAAAGCTGAGAACACGTGTTGGGAGCTGCTGCACTTGGCAAGGCAGGTTCTGAATTTGGGAGGTGATTCAGTGATGGGGTTTTATGGATCATGCACAGGAAAAGACACCCTCTGTCCACCCCCTCAGAACTCGCAGCTCGGACCTATCAGCTGGATGAAACCCAGTATTTTAATCAATGCATCTTACCTGCATATATCTAATCTGAAGCATGCAGAAATACAAGAAGCCATTAGCATTGCACACTTGCTATTGCAACAGATCTTACAAAAAAAATCAATGTTTTGGCGGATATGTGGGTGTTCATACCAAAAACAGACTCTTTTGCTCAGGGAAAGGGACAGAAAGAGAGTCAGAGCCCTCAACTCCATCACTGCTCAGCAGAAATCATAAAACATCACAGAGGGGACAGTGAAAAACTGACAATTCCACTGATCCTAATCCTGTACTACCTGGCTGCTGGAGCTTCCCCCCATTTTTGCTATTTATGCAAGAAATTCCTACCAGAACCTTCCCAAGGGGTTGTTCTTGGGCCAAATGGCTTCTGCAACTGATGGCAACCTGTTAAAAGCACCAGCGAGCTGTGCTGACTTCAGCATTGCTACCAGCACCCGTAACAGCTCCAAGCACTTTGGCGGGATCACTGGGAATATTTTGTGCCCAACTCCTTGATCCAGACAAGGTTTCAGTGCACAGGGAGCTCCTCTGGCTGCAGACAAGGAGTGAAGGGATAAAATGCCCCAACCACCATCATCACGATCTCTGTAACACTCGCAGCCAAACTGGGAGAGGGAAGGAGTCAAGGGACGTTGCTCGGCTGTTTGGGCAGGTTCCACGGATGCAGCCCTGCATTCCCAGGCTCCAGCCCCTCATCTGGCTCAGCCACATGCCCTGCTCCAGGGATTTAATTGATCAGTGAACTTATCCATTGATCCTGCTTTGTTATGGGGAAGTATGTGCTGTTTGCGCTAGGAGAGAGTAATTAGAGTCTGAACAAAGCCTGAGGGTGGCAGATATTGGAGGCTGGGAGAAAATTTGGAAGGTCACACTCTGGAGAAGGTCCATTCCAGCTCTGCACTAGCAGAAGCCAGGGCAGTGCTGGGGACACAGGTAGTGAGGGTGGCTGTGGGCTTCTTTGGGGAGGTGCAAGGGCCACCAGTACCTCCCTGGTTCATCCATGGAGTGGGATATTTGCCCCAGAGCCCTTGGAGTTAATGCACATCCCTCCACGAGGCTGCACATACCTCAATACTCAGGTTTCCTCATCGTCAAGAGGTTTTTAGAGGTGACGAAAGGGGACGGCTGCTTGTCCCTAAAGCCACATGGGTCCCTGCTGCCCCAAAAAGCTCCACTGTAAACACCTCCCTGCTCTGAGACACCCAGGTAGGAGGCAGCAGCAGGCACAAACAAGTGCTGGATCCCCCACACAGATCTGTCAGTGCTCGCCCCGATCTAAAAATACCGGTGGCAGGCACGGCACATCTGGCTGACGGAGCAGGGAGAGCTCCCACACTCCCCCTCCCCAGAAGGGATGCAGTGACACATGCTGCCTTGGCTCAGCAGTAAATTGCTATTTTTAGCTTATCTTTTAGGGCTTATTAGGTCTCCCTTTCCCTTCCTCCTCCCCGAACTCCTTCAGATGACAGGATGGGCTGGGAAACTCCTCAGAGAACCCCCTCTGGGCCAGTGCCATCCCAGCTCTGCTTATTTTTACCACTTGCAAGGCAGCTCAGTTTCGAGGAGCAACACAGAGCGGTTCGCTTCCCTGCAGCATCACCTGCCATTGGCAGACAGTAATTTATTTAATTAAATCCCCCTCCCTTCCCCTCCCATCAAGGTGTAGCTTCAAAAACGCAGATAAATTGTTACCATGGGCTGCTGAACTTCCACTCTGATGATATCTTCGTAGATATCATCGCCTTCATCTTCGCAGGGGACGCAGTCATAAATGTCCTCCCCCAGATCGTGCTCGCTGGAACGAGGAGAGAGAGTCAGTGATAATAACGAGGGGATGTTCACTGTCACTTGATCAGGCAAACCAAGAACAGCTCTGACACCGAGCAGGGGGGAGAACCACAATAAGAAAATTCTCCTGGCCCACAGCACTGATGTGCTCGGTCCACGCTCTCTGGTTTTCCCGGATCAGTGCCTGCTGCACATCTCTTTCCGCTCGTTGGAGGCTGGAAAAGGCAAAACGCTGCTCAACACGAGCGGGGATCACAGCCAAGAGCTGCTCTGAGCCCCGTGCCAAGCGTGCCCACGATGCCCACTCCACCACGGGCTGCCAGCTCTGCCCCCACAGAGCTTTTGCTCGGTGCTAATCGGCCCAGTCGAGCTGGACCCGCTGGCCAAGCACCCAGTGGGACCATCTGTGCCGCTGGCACGACCAGGTCCAGCTCCACCTGCCTCCAAAGGTGCCCACGGCCTCCTCTTCAGCTCCAATTTAGGACCAGGAGCAGCTCTTGCCTCAGTGACTTTAACTATATTATACTCAGAGAATGGACTTTACAGGTTGGTCTGTTTAAGGCACTGTGTTCACTCTTAATCTGGTTTGGCTTTTTCTCACTAAGAGGCTTCCTTTGTGCCAAAAAACCACCCCCTCTCCAAGTCAGGGCTGCAAAACTGCCATAGGAGCCCAGATCCATTCAGAGCAGGAGCAGATACTAAACAATCATCTGATGGCTCTGTGTAGTCCATAGAAGCATCCCCAGTCCTGATGAACCCACACCCCAGGCTGTGCAGGACCCACAGCAATGCCTGGACCAGGCAGCTGCCTCCAGCCTTGGGCATCACATCCAGGTTTAAAAGCTCTGGATCCAGTTCTTCTGGGAGATGTACCAACTCCTATAAAGCCCAATCCCTGCCCTAATGGGCAACTGGGTGATTTTTAATCCAGCATTTCCCAGAGGAATAGGAGACTCTCCTGACCACCATAAAGCAATCTCGCCGGACACCCAGCTTGGTGATGCTCAGCCCCAATGCTGAGCAGAGGCCAATAATAATATTTACATCAGAGAAAAATTAAGCAGCAAAATGTCACATTTTCAGAGCTGGCCCCATCACTTTGGAGCTGGCCCTGCACACACACAGGCTTTGAAGGCATCACTGAGATGCAAGCACAATTTGTATTAAAGGTGAGGGTGTTCAGTAATTAATTGTCATCTGAGCCTTCACACCCCTCCCAGGGGCTCATCGGTCTTAGAATACCTCTGAAAATTCAACCCACAATAAATACCAATTAACAATAATAACTCTAGCACTTAGATCTACAGGTGCTGATTGCTAACGGCTCCCACTGAAGTCAATCCCACAGGATCAGGACAGTGTGAAACACTGGAATATCAAACAGCACTCGCATATTTTATGAGCTGTCTCTTTCAACAGGGGTATTAATTACACCCAAACATACTTAGGTGTAAAGCTGTGCTCAAACTGTGACACTCGACATCTCTATATTATATAGCAGGGAGCAGCAGAGCACATCTGCCTGCGAAACTGGGCTTTATTTCTTCACTAAATACGGTCCCTTCTATTTTTACAAAACAGATTTATTTAATAAAAGTTTGGGGATTTTAAATAAATACACTAGCTTGATGTAGCCATCCCATTCTTCCAGAGTGATGCATTGCAGCTGCTGCAATAATGCCCACTAATAGCTGGTGATCCATCTTCCCCTTCCCAGGCGTCGCCGTCGCCGTTATTATCTGTACCAATATTTATATTCTCCGCTCCACTCCTTATCCAGAGCGAGTCACTCCCAGTTCCTGATTAATCTTCCTGCCTGCACCTCTCGGATTGCTGGCTGTCTCTCCATACATCATTTCCCTGGCTCCAGGGTCGTTAGGGACGTATGGCTGCGTTAATGTCGTGAGCACGAGCCCGGCTGGGTGTGACGCGACCAGGCGAGTGCTGCGGTGACGCTGCTGCTGGAGCAGAGCCTGCTTGGCCTCGTGGATGCTCATCACCATCCACATGGGAGCACCCAGGAACTGCTTTGGGCTACGTGCAGAAGGAGAAGAGGCATCCTGAGGTGTCTCTGGGAAGCCCTGTGTCCTGAGCATCACCTGGACATTCTCTCGGCGCACCTACACAACCAGGTGCCAGGTCCAAGCCTCAAACCCCAGCAGGACCCATTCCAAGCCTGTTGCTGCTGTTCCCAGCCTGGACAAGTTCTCCTTTTCTCCCCCTCCAAGGAGCCATGAGCTCTGGACCGTGGTGGGGACACACCAGGACACCACTGTGAGAAATCCAGGTGGCAGTGTGACATGCTAAAGGGGTTTTGCTCAATCAGGCTTCCTGGACCAAGCCTGCAGGAGGATGTGTGCCCCATGGACCTGGTCCAGCTTGGCCCTACCCAGAGCTCCTCCAGGCCACCAAGAAAGGGGCAGGAATGCCTACCAAGGGTCAACAGAGGAGATTTGCCCACAGAACTGCCAACAGTCACAAGACATGAACGTTGCACTTATCCTGATAGCACCTTGCTACTCTCACTGCTCTAACAAAGGGGCTGAGCCCTACTGCTCCACTCCTTCCTGCTCATCAACATCAGCACAAGCCCTTCCCAACATCGATTTCTGGCCTCACACAAAAAACAGGAACAACTCCCTTGTCCTGGGGCCATCTAGAAAGACACTTCCACTTCAGAGCTTCGGGGAGAGACACTAGAGATGCTCAAACCCGACAGCCGTGGTGGTGTTAAAACCATACCTTTGTCCAGCAGACTCTTATTTATTAAAACACATTCCTAGTACATCCCTGAGAAACACCAGAGGCTGCCAGTTTTATGGAGAGCAGTAAACCGTGTGGATTAACTTCTCCTGGAGCAGACTGTGAGCAGCCAAGCTCCAACAGTGCCGCACGGCTGTCGACAATCGCTGCTGTGCACATATTGATTTTCATCAGTCTCCACATTATGTCTGTCAGAGTTGAAAATACGCACCCTCCCCGTCCTCAAAACAGGGAACAGGCATCAGGGTGATTTTAGCCAGTGGCAAACTAAGGGCCTACTAAATGCAGGCAATAAATTCGGCATCCCAAGCATGTCACGCACAGACGGAACAACCTGAGCAAGGAAAGCCAGATCTTCACCTCGTTCTTCACAAAGAAAAGCAATTTGCTCCTTCAATAAAAGCAGCAGAGTCTGCGAGTTACCCGTGGGTATCAGAGCCCATGATCTACTGCCTGGATTAGGAGATTCATTGACAGCTCTGGGTTTAGGAAAGGGATTTTATCCGCCCTTCAGAGTTAACGCCAGCATTTGCAATTACTGTTATTAGGATGGATGTAACCAGCTTTGGGATGGCAGCATCTTGCCGAGCCAGAAAAGCTCATTCAAAGCAAAAAAAGAATGAAGCTTTTCATATCTAAGGCAATTTCAGGCAAAAACAGTGCTTTTGGCTGAGCTCTGCCTCCCTGGCAATGCTCGCTCTGTACGAACACCCTCCCAGGCAGGCGGCAGCCATGCCAAGGAGCAGCTCCCATAACAGAGGGGTTGATGCCAGGATGCTGCCTTAGAGTGAGGGACAAACACGTGGGGAAGCTCTGATAGACTTGAGGGCCACTGAAGAATCTCTTCACCCACAAAGCTGCTCTGGGAAGTTGATGAGTTTGTACCAGCCCCAGGAATGCAGGGACAAGCTCTCAAGGCAAACCCACTGTGCCAAAACCCCTGTCCAAACCACACTGGTGGAAGAGCCAGAACCACCAGGAACAACAAAAGAAAGGGAAGGAGGGGACAGAAGGAACTAAAATAAGACAACCGAGAAATAACCCCAAATTTCCAGCCCCGTAGCCAAGGTTAAGAGCCAGAAAACCTCAGAGCCACCACTGGGTCCAGGCTGGGAGGGCATTTGCAGGGACTCTGAGACAGCTGCCCAGCAACTGCAAGGCCCCAGTCTGCCCCAGTAATCCTCCACTTTCTCATTCTTGCTCTGCACTTACAGCTATAAATAGACAGCTCATCCAACCAACCCCCTCATTCACGGGCTCCACCAGACGAGGAGAAGCAGAGTCCTGTATTTGCAGCACATCTGGCAGGCTTAGGTTTCAGGGTGAAGGAGTGCAAGATGTGCAGTCACTGGACTCGAGATCTTGCAGGGTTTAATTAGCCAGATTGTACTTGGATGGAGATACACATCTGGAAATAGCAAGGGAAGCCTTCTGCCATCTATTCTACTTGGGTCTTACGTTCCCCAATCAAAGGGGAACATTATGATCCCAAGAACGAGCCTCACACAGTTATAGCACGTAATATGATCCTAGAAAAGGCACAAGTAGGACGTATAAAAATCAATACGGGTGACAAAGAAGAAAAGACACGTTTACAAGTGCTATGGCTCAAGTGCCCTGTACTACAGAACCATTTATTTAATGGGCTGGCGTGCGTGGTCTGTCCAACACAGCAAAAATAATGAGAAAAGTGGCAGCTAACTTATCATCTCACCTTGGCCCCTCTATTCGTTACTTTCTTTTAATGCACTTGAGAAATCCTGCTGATCACATCACTGTTTTGGGAGATATGATGGGGCAAAGCTGGTGACAGCAGTGGAAGAAGTAGGAGAAACTTCAGTGAGAAGTTGTTGGCAGGGGGCAGGTTGTCAGCAGAGGCTGTGCCCAGAAGAGATGCATCACTTGAGAAACTGAGGCTGGGCAGACCTACTTCCCCCCTTTTCCAGGATAAAAAGTTTAAGAATACACAACTATCCCCAATATATATGTTGGGGATAAATCCCCAGTGAACTGCAGCTCAAAACAAGAGCAGGGGACATCGACACTGAGCTGTGGGATGAAGCTCCCCAGGGGCACACACTGGCTCCAGCACAGAGTTTGGTGGCAGTTGCTTTGCCTAAAACACTTACTTGGTCCTTTCTGCAACACCACAACTTCTCTCCCCAAAACAAATTACATTTGAAGGAGAAAATAAAGGTAAAAGTTACACAAATTAAATGTTTCACATCAAACCATTCACAGCACTTCTGCCTGACTGAATTCTTCCAAGAGCCAACAAGTAACCCAAAATCAGCCCTAAGTGTAATCCACCCAAGCCTGCTGGGCTTAGTGCCAGGGCAGAGGGACAGTGTCATGAAGTGGAGAAGGTTCATCATAAAGAAGGGTCTGGTGCTGTAAAGAGGACCAGGATTAATCGCTCTCATAAATTTAATGAGACAAAATAACTGGGGAGAGCTTAAGTGGCAGTAAAGAAAATTCAGGTTAAATGTTAACTATAACTCTGAGGTACCAGGATGGTCTGGAGCAGCTGAAAGAGCCATCAAGAGGGATGGAAAAGCAATTGGCAGGGAAGAAGCTTATCAGTAAGGCGGATAATTGCCCACTGACATCAGTGCCCAGCAGCCATATCCGGGTGGGAAGCAGCGGTTCACACCCCTGCACACCTGTTGGAGCATCCCCAGGACAAGGGTCGCTCCGATTTTGGGGGCACAGGCTATAGAGAATGAGCCCACGTGTTGCTGTTGCAAAGCCCAGCTCATTTTGTGGGCAAATCCCCCCCAACTGGTTGCAGCTCTAGAGTCTGGCACTAGGGCAGGCTGAGATAAATCAGGCAGCAGAGGACAATTGTCCCTTTACTGCTCCTCCCAGTATTGATCAGGCACCACTTGCATCCGTCCGGCCCTCACCATCTGCCCAGGCTGCTGCAAGCTGCCATCTGGCCCGTGGCAAAGCAAACTGAGGGGCCAGCAGGCTGAAAAGAGGGAATTTGAGAACTTCCTATCTCCCCTGATAGCCTTTTAGTTTCTCTTCCCCTTTCCATCACCAATTGTTCTTTTTTTTTTTTTTTAACCAAATAGCTGTTTCCAGGCAATTACATGCCTTGATCTGCTGGCTGGCTGATCCAGCACTGGAGCTTGGATTCATCTCTGCAACACTCCAAAGGTGAAAGAACAATGGGGTCATCAAGGTTTAAACATCCTTTATACACACCTGCACCCCACAGACACACTGTGCTTGCACAGACCTTGTTCCTGCAGCCCACATAAATGTCCTTGTGGCACTGCCATTGATCCTCTCCAGCCCTGGCACTGACTTTTGTCCCCAGTTGTCTGGGCTCCTCTGCACTGGGAGGGTCATCAGGATGAAGGTTCTCACTCTTCAGAGCATCATGGGGACAGTGGGGACAAAGCCTGGTTCCTTCTCTTCCCAAATCAGCCCCTCCTTCACCAATACATCTATATTTTGAATTCTTTGCAGAACAGAAATTCACCTAAAATCTGAACTGGGGAACACAAAACTGCTCCGTTTAAGTACTTAAGAGTTGAAATGAAGCATTTTGATATTTAAAAAGAAAAAAAAAAGTATCTCGTTTACCAACCCCTAAAATGTCTTGTTAGAACCAGCTCAATATTTATCCTGAGCTTTTTATCCCAGCAGCACAATGTCCAAAGAGAGCTCCCTCTCAAGAGACTCCTCTCTCCCAGGGGTGAGCTGATGGTGCAGAGCCCACCAGGGTTGTCCCTCCTCACCCACACCCTGGTCCTTTGAGGTCAGTGGGGACAGCAGGGTGGGACCTCGAGATGACACATCTCATGGTGGTTTTACAGGCAGGATTGTAGCAGTTCCTTCCACACATTGGGTCATTTCACTGCTTGCTGTGAAAATCACTTCCTCGCCTCCAATAAAGCATTTTGTATGCACTCAGATCTTCCCAAGGCTGCTGGATCATCAGCAATACTAAATGCAAAGATGCTGGATGGACTGAATCACTCCCAGCTCGTGAATGATGCCCTTGTTCAGCTGTTTGGAGGATCAGCAGGAGCTAAGAAAGAGCTTTCTCATGCAGTGCCCCAGCCTGCCAGCGCCCAGCAGCGGTGCCCAGTACCCACCATTGTGACCAGCAAAATCCCAGTGAAAGTTTCCTTGTCAAAGGGAGAAAGGGGGACTATTGCTGATGTGCTCCAGGCAGCTGGAGCAGCAACACTTGTGTGAAGGGGCTCTCAGGGGCATTTCTGGGGTTTTTACAGCTATGGGTGAATTCCATCTCTGTTTTGTAGGTCGTGTTTCTGTGCACAACCTGGCTGGACCAGGAGGGCAGGTCCAGATGCAGGAATTGGTGCCATAACCTCGTGCTGATTTACACATGCCTTTCCCCACACGTCTTGGTTAAAGATTTTGAGAAGAGGATTTTGCAAAGAACGGGAAAAAAGGGGAACGTTAAAAGTTGGAGAAGATCTGGGACAGAACAGGGTGATCAACAGAAATAAACCTCCAAGTCATCTGACTTGGGCACCTCTCATTGAGGGACAAACTTACAGCCAGGCCTGAGGAACAGTTTGGGAAACTTCCACCCAGACACCCTGCAGGAGCTGCACCACCGACAGCAGTTAAAACTGGGAACCCACTTCCAACACTGAACAACCTGCTCCAAGCTCTGAGTATGCCATCCCAAAACTCCCGTTTCTAGGAGAGTGCTGCCATCCCAACCAGCACTTGTGTGTGAGTTCCCACACAAACCTCTCTCCAATTAAAAGCACATCTATGTGTGAGAAGCAGGAATTTTAAAACCCAGTATTAAAAGGGTTTTGAGAATTTTTGGAGAGGGGGCGGAAAAAAATGTTGCTCTTGAAAGGATCCCTTTATAAGTTAAAATTATATTAAACTGTAGCTGCTGGGAGCCAACAGCAAGCAGGGAATTCCAGGGGACTCCATTCCCTCCGCTGGTAATTTATGATTTACTTTTGTAATAACTGAAGCCATAAGGAACTCATTGGATTAAGGAGCCTTATTATTTATGTTGTGGAACAATAATATTTAACTGTATAAAGCCATATATCCACCCATACAGTCCATCCCTCCACATGAAACAGACTGCTCCACATAAGCAAACCCCTGGCTGATGGGAATGTTGCCATCGAATTCCAATAGTGCCCACATTTCACCGTATATGTTGTAGTTCAAGGTTGATTTTAAAAGCCTGTTATATCATCACCACGGGCAGCAAAACACAGACACAAGATAAACAGAGACAGGACACACCAGCAGCACCACCCCATGTCCTAACACACCACCAAGGACAGGCAGGATGTGTCCCTTGTGAGGGGCCTGAGGTCCCATCCCTGCAAGCATCCAGGTTAGACAGAGCTTGGAGCAACCTGGTCTACTGGAAGGTGTCCCTGACCATGGCAGGAGACATGGAACAAGGTGGTCTTTAAGGCCCCTTTCAACCCAAAATATTCTGTGATTGCCCTGGGGACACCTAAGGTGGTCCAAAAATCATCCATAGGGGATGCAGATCCATGTGCCAGCACCCACACAGCCCAAAAAATGCCATAGGGGGAACCAGCACTGTTAGCAACAGGTACCCCACTCCCAGCAAGTGGTTTGGCTTTGGTCAGCTCAGAGGATAAATTATGTCCCAAGGTTTTGCAGCTAATGATGGAATTTAGGAGGCAGAGGAGATCCCGTGGGCTTGGCCCCCTTCACCCCCCACCAAGCCTCTCATAAATTCAACCTGATTAAAAGTGATGTCTCCCAGGGCTCTTCATGGGAAAAGATGGACTATTGTCAGAGCACAAAAATCTCCTGGCAAAAGGATCAAAGCAGCCAGCCCGGCTCTCCGAGCCCCGCTGTCAAATTTTATCTGCCTTTGCTGCAAATACTCTGCAACTTTTCCCTTTCTGTGTCCCCTCCCGTGAGAAGGGGAGGCCACTTACTCTGCCAGCTCCTCCAGGCTCCGATACACGTCATCATCGTTTTCCGTGGTCTCCTCCGATGGGAAGGGCCTGGGGAAGGGAAGGAATGACAGTGTTACTGGTGCCTCACCCCTCGCAGCACATCCCCTGAACTCAGCCCAGCCCTGAGCGTCCCGCTGAGCTCAGGGTGTTTCGGAACAAAATATGCATTGCAAATCCATTCTTTCCTGTTGAGGTACTGGCTCCCAGGACGACACTGCTTCCCACAGGCAGCCCTGGCATGGCAGGACAAGAAAGCAGGTGGTGAGATTGGCTGGCTGAGCACAGGAGAACACCTGGGCCCCAAAACGAGGAGCAGCATCCTCTGACAGCACCTCAGAGCCCCCGTGGCTGAGCTGCCGCTCCTGCTGTGCTGGTGCTGCACAAACAACTCAGAAATGTAACTCAAGCCTGGAGCTGGACGTGTTAAAATGGAGAGACACCTCCTCCTCCAGCTCTCATGGAGCCTTCCCACCTGTGAGCTCCTGCCCTGGTCAGCCAGGTACGGCTGGACACACCGTGCTGCTTCCCACTGCTGCAAACAGCTGATCCCACTGGAATGAATGAGTCCTTATGAACCCTGGGCTTCCTCATCTTAACAACTTTGTGACAGCTGAAAAAAGTTAAACCCCTGGGGATGAGGGAAAGGACAGCAAAAGGGCAAAAGGAAGGGGGGAGAAAGCAGATTAAAAGAGCACGGGAGGGAGTGGGGGGAATACAAGAATTCCTTGGCTCGTTCTGAAGTAATAACCAAATAACATATGAAGGAGATGAAAAATACTGTTTTAATTAAACCCAATGTATTATTGCTGGCACGGGGCCAGGGTGGGCTGTGGCTCTGCTGGGGCTGGATGCACCTTGTGGCTACGGCTGTGCCGGGCTGCGGGTCCCCGTGGGCACAGCCAGCCTGCTCCAGCCCCAGCACAGGGACACGGAGGGGTGGCAGTAGGGCAGCTTGCTCCACCCCTCCTGGGCATCAAGGAGAAGGCAGGTGGGGTTCCCCAGGCCATGAGCCACACGGGATGGGATGCTGATGCTGGGGAAGAGCAAAACTGGATACACGTGAACGTCTAACTGCCCTCGAGAGCAATTCCCTCCTCTGCCCTCCCACCTTCCTTGTTTCATGATAGATTGCCTCTCCTGAAAGATTTAATACATGGCCTGGTTAGCCCCCAAATTTGCTATTTTTGGATCCTTTCTCTAGCATTAATTTGCCTTCTCTCCTCTGCTACACTTCACCCTTCCTTCAGCGAGCAGCTTCAGAACAAGCATTTTGAAATAGTGCTGAAACCTGCAGCAAGTTCAATTAAAACCCCAGCCAGGTGGTGAGTCCAGGAGGGAAAAGAGCCATGGTGACCTCAGCCACAGGGCAGAATCATTCCATGCTACACCACCTACCACAGCTGCTGTGCCTCTGAGAGAGGAAACAAGGAGCACCCAAGGCTGGTGTGTCCAACCATGTGCAAAGTGGCAACAGGGGAGGGAAGAAAGCTGTGGGTAGAAGGGCAGGTGGGGCTGTGCTTGCTGTCATAGTCCCATGGCAAGGCAGGTGCCATCAGGGGATCGTCCCAAAACCCCAACATCTGGCACAAACAGCTGCCCAGGTATCTGTGAGGTGGGGGGGGATGACCATTTTGGAGAGAAGCTTCAAAGCATAAAGGTACAGTTTGAGATCCTGAGGATCTTTACAAAACGTGTGTTTCCTCACTCCTGCTGTCCCCTGGGGATTAGTGACAAATACAAAAGCCACGTGAAGCACAGGCAAAAAAGCCACCAGCTCTTCCTGCACGTGATGGAACTGGGAACCAGTCTTGGACTTCAGCCCTGGTGGGCAAAGGGATATGGCAGCTGCTGCTGCAGGGCTACACCACCCCACACAGCTCCAGCAAGAAAGGAGAACTCAGAGGTGACCTCTGTTTAAACACCACTTGTTAAAATAATAATAAAAAGAAATCCACCACAAGGCACATGCATCTTCTGCTGTTAATCTCTGACTATTTCCTTCCCCAGTGCTCACCACGCCAGAAAGAAAGAAGTAAAAGAGCCATAAAGAATATTAAAATCACATGCACACATTTCCAACCATAAATCTGGGCCCGAGGTGTAATTGGTTCCTGTGATAACCCCCCCCGTGTAAGACAAGGAGACAGCAAAGAGAGAAAAAATATTTTCTAATGAGAGTTTCATGGGGAGGCAGCTCTGCTGGCCCTCCCAGCTTCACCTTGACTGTGGGTAAAGCACCAGAGTGAAAGTCAGGGCACGGGAGGAATTAATAACCTGTATCCCCACAATAGCAGCTAATGGCTAAATAAGGATGCAGAGAAGGCAATTAGAAGGAAAGTCACACTGAGGTGAGTGTTACTGAACGGACCATCTAAAATCTGGAGCTGAAGGATGGCTTTTTGGAGAAAGCCCTGGGTTTGCCCTTTGTCTGTGCCTCCTTCCCCTGCTGCCCATGCTTTGCAGGGGCTCTCTGTGTCCCCACATCACCAGTGTGGGAGCAGAGCTGCCATCTCCCCTGCTCCAAAACAGGGTGCCAGCCCCCAGGATGTAGGATAACTCACAGAGGGTGGGACCATGGGACAGTCCTTGCTCTTCCCCAAATGTTCTATGTGCAACAACACAATTTAATGTAGCCCTACTAAGAGCTCCCCAACAGCAAATGCGTTGTTTGAGACAAACCTGCAGGTCATTTTTTTCCTTTTTTTGTAAAATGAGTAAAAACATTTTAAGTCAAGAGGTCTAAAAGCTACTGGGAAATTCTTACAGACCTCCAGGCTTGTTGCAACTTCTTATGGAGTATTAAAAGCTGTGGCTGGGAATGCCCAACAGCAACGAGTAGTTTGAGTTCACTGAAACCCAACAGGTTTGCAGAGATCCCGGTTTATTAAAATTCATTTGAAAATGTCTCTTATTTCCTATCTTTAGTTAAGCACCAGATTTTGTTTTTCACTCCACCACCATGCAAAACCACCTGCTGAGCCATTCATCCTCCCAGCCCGTGCCTGGGCTGCTGCAATCCCAACTCAGATGAAGAGTGAAAGCCCCAGCGACATCAAACAGCACCAGAACAGGCTCTTAGAGATAATAAACCTCCCAGAGCAGACTCCTGCACAGACAAACCCCACAGCATTCAAGAGCATCACTTCCACAGATCAAAGAGGAGAAGGGAAGTGGGATTGATCTGATGTATTTGTTTCAGAGCCTAAAAGAGAAGAAAAGACCAAGTAATTTGTTATGGAGTTTAGAGCGAGCTTTGCCTCTGGAGGACAAGACTTACAGCAGATGATGGTTCTTGACGTGCGACGCAAAGCACCCCCTTGATCTTACAAAACATTTTGGCTACTTTCTGCATTGCACATGCACAGAACAGAGCGCCCTGCAAACACCCGGGAAGGCAGGAGCAATCCACAGCCACAGCACATCACGCAGGGGGATAATCAATTAATATTTCACGAGGCACCTAATGCAAAAACCCTCCCTCGCTCTCAGGTTGCCCCCATGATCCCTCCCACGCCGCATCCTCATCATCCACTCCTGCACAGTAAATCTCTCTGTGGGGAGAAGGAGCAGCTCCACACGCTGCCTTGGCTGCTCTCTCCTCTGAATTATTTAACGGGAAGAGCCAGGTAGGCTGCAATTCTAACAGCAATAAGCAGGAAGGTTTATTTATTTATGAGCATATTTCAGCAACTGGGTGTCTTGTCCTAGCAACTGAAGCCAATTGTTCACCTCTGCAGTGCCCTCACAGAGAATAGAGGGTCAGGGATGGGTCAGCTTTAGCCTGATAATTTTATACTGCAGCATCTTGTTCTCAAATCCACGTGTGACAGAGCAAAAAGGACCCAGCATGGTTTATTTTCTATTTTTCCAGTGTCCATTCTGATTTCTTGGGGTCAAACACCAGCCCTGGGAACAGGAAGCCCGGTGACAAGAAGGGAGGGTGGAAACGTCCCACTCAGTGCTCTCCATCCCAAGGAGCTGTTCCCACTGCTCTCGGTGGAGATGGTCTGTCAGGCAAGGAAGTTCTCATGCCTTGTGCAAACACCCTCAACAGACTAAAGGAGGTGGCTCATCCCCCTTTCTGGAGCGGGATTCCAGCCTCTCAGCACGATAACCTCCCCCTCTTTTCCTAAGATCACACTTGAGTGTTTTAAAAAGCAGGTGGAGTAAGTGACACCCGGGAAACCTGAGCTGCTCCCATCTGCTGCCCCTTCTGTGAGGGGTTTCTTCATAAACGGGAAGGATCAGAGCCTCAAGCTGCTGCAAAGGAGCTTCTGTGGCTCTGCTGGGATGGAAGGGGCTGTGCCAAGTCCTCCCGGCCCAGAATCTGGCAGAAAAGCGTTTCCATAATGAGGAATATAGACTGTAATTACACCTTGCAGTACCTCACAGATCCCATGGCTGGAGGTACAGACCTTCTGACAGCCCTGCTTTGAAGACAGCGTTGTGGCAATGCACAGAAAACCCACGGGACTCTGATTTCACCAAGATTTTTGGGCTTCAGGCTGTGCTTTCCATGTGAGTTCAGGTGTGGGGTTTGCAGCCCCACAGCTCCCATGCTTCCAGAAAAGTCTGTCTGTCCCACTGCTGAGGTTTCATGCTGCTTCAAACCCTGTATCTCAGACCTTGGATGTTCACAGCACATCACTCTGACAGCTCCAACCTTCCCCTTTTCTTTTTTCATCCTCTTTTCCTCCAGGATGGCTCACCCTGCGAATATGGGATCACCCCATCCCAGTGACCACGGATTCCCTGTCAGTCATCAGTTCTGGAACCTCAGTGCCCAATCACACCTTCATGAGCTCTCCTGGAGCTGCCCAAAGAAATCCATGTAGTTTTCCCAAGACATTTGCCCACAACTGAAAATTCCTTCCTTGTCGGCTTCGGTGGGATTAGGCAGATTAAAGAAGTATTTAATTTACTGATGTACCAAGAGATGGACATGAGCTGACCAGGGACAAGCAAAGAGGTGACCTGGAGCTGCTCCTCCAGCTCTGCTCAAGACCCAGGCAGCACCTCCAAGATTTGTTTCCCATCTGTGAAATGGG